ACCTCAAAGCGAATAACCAGAGGAATCAGAAGTCACATCGGGAAATCTGCAACCTGCTCATATGACGACCACCATGCTATAAAATAGACTAGAAAAGGAAGAAGGAGCTGGCAGGGGGAAAACCAGAAAACGCATTATATCCTAAAACCCAAAGTACAAGAGGATTTCAAGGAGGAAATAGTGGGAGGTACCAAATTTGCAGTGATTTCCAGTCACTGATTATAACTAAACAGACCCACTGGGATTGTACACAGGAGATCCTAATGCCCAGGGGAGGGAGGTTTTCTGACATCTGAGGGATAGAAGACAAGTGGGTGTTGCCAGGACAGGGAGGTGGCGAAATAAGGCAAGCACGACTCTTCCAAGAGACCTGTGAAGAGGAAAGGACTAGAATCTACTCAAACATGGGACCCCGGGTGGCTCAGCAGTTGAGCATCTGCCTTCGGCTCAGGGCATGATCCCGGGGCTCCGGGATCGAGTCCCACATGGGGATCCCTGCATGGAGCCTGCTTCACCCTCTGCCTGTGTCTCTGCCTCTGTGTGTCTCTCATGAATAAATAAATAAAATCTTTAAAGAAAAAAAGGAATCTACTCAAACATGTTCATTTCTTAAAGGAGAACAATTTGGAGACTATTATATGGTGAAGGGAAAGTCAGTAGAAAATGAAAGTTTTAAGGACACAGGCCTGTGACAGAGACTGTGAACATGAAGAGAAAGAACACTAGAGACATTGTCAATCCAGGACTTGAACCTCACACGGGCCCTTGATGCTGACAGCCCCGCTGTATTTCCATAGTCTGTCCACTGTGCCGTTTCCTGGCACCATGCTTCTCAGACGGCTGTCACCCAGAAACCTGTCAGAAATGCAAGTTCTGCTCAGCGGCTGAGCATCTGCCTTCAGCTCAGGTCATGATCCTGGAGTCCTGGGATCAAGTCCCACATCAGGTTCCCCACACGGAGCCTGCTTCTCCCTCAGCCTGTGTCTCTACCTCTCTCTGTGTGTCTCTCATGAATAAATAAATAAAATCTTTAAAAAAAAAAAAAAAGAAATGCAAGTTCTCCAGCCCACCCTAGACCTCCAGGATCAGAAACTTTCACCAGGCCTTTAACCAGCTTACGATTCTGTTACACACTCAAGTGAGAACCAACCACCCTAGATGACTAGTTTATAACTCCTCCTCTCTCTTTAAATGTCCCCTCCCACTTCATCCCTATTCTCAGCTGACTTTGCTTCCTAATTCACAAACACAAAGAGGCCATGGGGGGGGGCGGGGGGGGGAGTGTGCCCAGCTTCCATCACATGCAACCTCCTCCCTGCATCTGGGCCCAAATGGTGCCTCCTCTCTTCTCGCTTTGGATGGATGCTTTGTGTCCTGGCCTGTACTGGATCCCCTCCTTTCTCACCACTTCAAGGACATTGCTCAGGCTCTCCTCCTCTCTCCCCCACATCACCAGTGTTCCCTCTCCAATGGCTCTTTCTCCTTAGCATACAAGGATAGTTATTTTTTCCATTTAAAAATTTTTCTTGGGGCACCTGGGTGGCTCAGTTGGTTGAGCATCTGCCTTCAGTTCAGGTCATGATCTCGAATTCATGGGATTCAGTCCTGCATCTGGCTCCCTGCTCAGCAGGGAGCCTGCTTCTCCCTCTCTCCACCCCTGCCCATGCTCTTGGGGCACACGTGCTCCCTCTCTCATTATAAACATATAAACATATATATACACACACATATATATATACATCTTTTACATAAAAATATAATTTTTAAATAAAAATTTTTCTTGACATTACTTTTACTTCCCACCCAGTCTCTCTCCTTCCTTTACCACAAAACTCCTCCAAAGAGTTGTCCACACTGTACCCCATCCCTCTCCTCCCATTCTTGAGCCCATCCACAGACTTTCTCACCTCACTGCTCCACCAAAACCATTTTTGTCAAGGCCACCAACACCCGTGTAAATCAATCCCCAGATTCATGTGACCTAATCCATATACAGCATTTGACATAACTGATCTTTCCTCCACTGTACATTTCCTTCTCTGGGCTTACAGCACACCACCATCCCTCAGGTTTTTTTCTTCTCTACTTCATCATAACCATTTATGTCTCTCCAATGGTTCCTACTCCATTCTAAAGCCATTTAATGGCAGAGAGCTTCAGGATTCAGTCCTGGCACATCCCTACTTGTCCTCCCTTAGTGACCTCCCCTAATCTCGTGGCTTTAAATAACAGCCATATGCTGACGACTCTCAAATCTGTATCTGCAACCCAGACCCTGCCAAACTTGGACATCCAACTGCTTTCTTGACATCGTGACGTGCCTAACAGGCACCTCAAACTTAATATATATTAAGCCAAGCTCCTTTCCTCTCCCCCAACCCACCTTCTCAGTTAATGTTCAAAAATTCCTCCCTCATCCACACTACCTCATCCATCAAAAAACCTTACTGGCTCTACATTCCAGATACACCCAGAAGCCAACCACTCCTTACCACCCCTCCTGCTACCTATCACACTGACACTATCATCTCTCAACAGATAATTTTTGTGACACCCTAAGTGGTCTCCTGCTTCTACTCTGGCTCTTTTCAGATGTGTTCTCATATATCAGCTGGAAGGATTCTGTTAAAACAGAAGTTAGATCCATGTCCATCCTCTACTCAAAATGTCTCCATACCTCCCATCTGAGTAAAAGTGGAAGGGCCTTAGGGTCCTATATGGTGCAATCCCTGCCTTCTCTCATTGACCTCACCTCCCACATCACTTTCTTCACTCCAGCCACACTGACCTTCTTCTTCTTCCTCAAAAATGGTAAGTGTGGAGCACCTGGGTGGTTCAGTGGTTGAGCAGCTGCCTTTGGCTCAGGTCATGTTCCCGGGGTCCTAGGATCAAGTCCCATCGGGGTCCCTACAGGGAGCCTGCTTCTCCCTCTGCCTATGTCTCTGCCTCTCTGTGTGTCTCTCATGAATAAATAAAATCTTTTTTTAAATGGCAAGTGTGTTTCAACCTCACAACCTCTGTGTTTATAGTCCACCTCTGCCTAGAACCTTCTTCCCTAAGATAGCCAGATGATTCACTCCCTCATCCCCTTCAGTTCACTCAGATGTCACCACTTCATTGAGACCATCTCTGATGACACCTTACACACTGTATCCCCCCTCCATTTCATTGCCTTCCATAGCTCCTACTGCTACCTAAAGTACTACAGATTTCACTTATTTGGTTATTATCTTCTGCTTCTTGGAGAATGTAAGCTCCTTGAAGGCAAAAGTAAGTTTTGCCTGTTTTGCTCGCTGCAGTTCCCCCCCACCCCGGGGGGGTACATAGAAGAGTACCCAGTACATCCAATAGCTATCCCTAAAACGTGGTGGAATGAGGGCCCCAAGGGAGTGTGCAGAGCTGGGATCAGAAGGGATTCACCTTGGACAAGAAGAGAGAAGCTTCCTCTTTCACTGCCCTAGAGTATTGGTAAGAATGGATTCCGGGGGATTCCTGGGTGGCTCAGCGGTTTGGTGCCCGCCTTCCACCCAGGGCACGATCCTGGAGACCGGGATCAAGTCCCACATCAGGCTCTCTGCATGGAGCCTGCTTCTCCCTCTGCCTGTTTCTGCCTCTCTCTGTGTGTGTCTCTCACGAGTAAATAAATTATTAAAAAAAGAATGGATTTGGATATGTTTGCAGGCAGAAATTTAAGTATTTCCCTCCAGGTTGCCCCTAGTTTCTCTGGGAAATAGAAGACAAGGAGGGACTTTGAGAATGGTGATGGCCAGCTAGAGCAGCCATGGGGGCAGGGGGGGGGGAGGAGATAAGGACACTTGGAAGAACCAACAAGCCAAGTGAAGTTGAAAACCTGGGTTTAGGGGCGCCTGAGTGGTTCAGTGGGTTGAGAGTGTCTGCCTTTGGCTCAGGGCATGATCTTGGGGTCCTGGGATGGAGCCCCTAGTCAGGCTCCCTGCTCAACAGAGAGCCTGCTTCTCCCTCTCCCTCCGCCCCTCCCCTTGCTCCTGCTCGCTGTCAAATAAATAAAATCTAGAAGAAGAAGAAGGAGGAGGAGGAGGAGGAGGAGGAGGAGGAGGAGGAGGAGGAGGAGGAGAAAAGAAAAAAGAAAAGAAAAAAAAAATAAAAAAAAAAATAAAAAAAAAGAAAAAAGAAAAGAAAAGAAAAGAAAAAGAAAGAAAACCTGGGTTTGCCTTGGCACCAATCTACCTGGCTGCGCCATTTTCTTCAACACCATGAAGACACAAACGAATGGGGGCAGGCGAAGTTCTGTCTCGGCCTTTTCTTGAAAAAGTAAAAAGACTCCCTTCCACTAAGTGCCTCTGTTTACCCACTCAGGGAGCCATCAGCAATCATCACCAATCACCGGTTCCATGTTAGCAAAATGAGCAGAGAGTGTGCTTCAGAGGAGAGAAAAGGAGGAGAGGCAAAGAACAGGCTCCCTCCCAGACCGGTGGGAAGGAGCGGGGCACTTGGCCTCCCCCAAACCTGGAAGCTGAGATCTGTGTGTGTACGTGTGTGTACACGTGTATATACACACACACACACAACACATACATACGCTTACACATACCCTCACACACACACACCCCCCCCCGCCCCCGGGCTCAAGCCCCGGGCCTCCCCCACTGCCTTCCCGCGGTCCGGGCCCCCGACCCCCGCGGGTCCGCCTCCCACCGGCTCCGCCCCCTCCAAGCTCGCGCGTCGCTTTCCCGCCACGTGCCGCTCTGTATATACCCGTCGCCTGGGAGACGCCGGCCGGGCGGGGCTCCCCTGACGTCACACTGGGAACAAGCCAATCGCCGTGACGCGTCTCAGTGACGCGAGACGCGCGGTGGGGCTCTGCCGGCCGGGGCGCAATGAGGCGGCTGCCCGCTGGGTGGCGCCGATTTCCCGGGGAGGTCCTCACTGGGCCCCCGGCGGAGGTGGGGGAGAGGCGGGCAGGAGCGAGGCCGGGGAGCCCTCTGCGTCAGCCGCTGCTCACTGCGCCGCGCCAGCACCAGCCGGGACTCACCCGCAGCTCCATGCTTGCGCCCGGCTCCACTCGTCCATCCTCGGAGAAGAGGCAGGTATGTGCCACCTGTCGGAGACCGGGGAGGAGGGATGCGGAGGTCAGCGTCGTCGGGAGCTCAGAAAGTGAGGTGTCAACGACAGCCTGGGTGGAATGGGCACCAGCTATGTAGGGCGAGCGCCAGCTGTGCGGAGGAGCTCCAGCTGTGGGCGCCAGTTGGGGGGGGGGGCTGCCAGCTGACAGCCCGGGGTGCCAGGAAGAGCCATCTGTGTGCTGATCACTGTGTTCTAAGGAAACGCTGCTTGGGCAGGTCCGGGGCTCTGTGCCCCGTGTGGTGTATGGCCTGAGAGCGACGCCTGGTCGCTGACAACCCCTTCCCCACGTGTGCGCCCAGTTCAAGCTCCAGCGGGCTCTCTCTGGTCAGTTTGCCAAAGGGGTGGGGGTGGGGGGAGGGCAGCAGTTAAGTGGAAGGGGAGATTTTCCACCAATCCCAAACCAGAGAGAGGCATCTTTGAAATTCTCACCAATCCCAAACCAGAAGCAGGCACGCGGTGCTCCAGGGCGAGTAACTTACACTTAACAGCCACGGGAAGCCCTGGCCAAGCCATTCTAGGTGTCCCCCCCCCCCCCCGCCACCCCCCACAAGTGAACGTCTACCTCCTCATCTGGCAGCTTTTAGAATGGGGCTGAGCTGGAGATGGTGGTGATGTCCACCTCCCCAGGCATGGGCATGAGAAGGTCCCCGAGTCCAAACCCATAAAGTGGAGGAGAGGAAAGCTGGTTAGGCTGGGTTGGGGCATCCCCCACTCCTCTGATACTGTAGATGCGTGCCAAACTGGAGTCGGAATGACGATTGGAATGAGGGCCGGGGACGAGGGCGTCCTCTGAAGTGCATCACCAGGACCCAAGCTGAGTCAGTAGCCTCTGCTGAGACAGGGTGGAGGCACCATCCTGGGTACTCCCAGTCCTCAGGGAGAGCCATCGAGAAACAGGAGACACAGACTGGGAGCAGACAAGAGCACCAAGGCCCAAGAGGTTAAGAAAGAATCCTGCTCCATCCTTCTGTGAGCCTGCCCAGCCCAGCTCTGTGGCCTTGGAATCCTGAGCACTCCGACAGGTAGAGTGAAACCACCCCAGAGCAGCTTTCTCCTGGTAGCCTCGGGGCAGCTGCACTTGCTTTATTTTTCTAGGCAAAGGGGGAAAGGGCCGTAATAGACCTGGCTCTTCTCCACTGGATGGGCTGGACATCTGGGAATATAGCAAGAGTCATTGGCCCTTGCCAGTTATGGGACATGGAGCAGCTCAGAAAACCACGGGGCTATTGTCTAGTGTTAGAACTGAGCACTCCCAAGGGGTGGCCCAGAGGCCCTATCCTCCCTAGGAAGGCTTCCGTGGCAGGTGCAACTACAAATACTCCCATTAATTGTAACAATTAGTGGAAGTATTCAGCATAATCATTACTATCATTTATTGAAATTTTACCATGTGCCAGGAAATTTACAAATATTATTTAATCCTCACAATGGTAAGATATAGCATTATTATACTCTTTACTCCTGTTTTACAGATCAAATCACTAAGGTCCAGACAGCTTACATGACTTGCCCACTGTCTCAGCCAATAAAAGGGAAAGAACTGGAATACAAGCCCAGGCCTAGAAAGAAGTCCATTATAAAAGAATTTGGAACCGAATGCCTGAGAGCAGGTCCCGCCTGTCACTACCTGTGCACCCCGGATCTCTAGGTCTCTACCTCAAAAGGGAGGATTTGCACCAGCACCGAGGCTTCCTGCTCTCCTTTCCTCTCCATTCCATCCCCATCCCTCTACCCTCTTTTCATTCGTCTCCCCTTGGATCCCTCTTCTGTTCCACTTCAAAATGCCCCCCTCCAAAGAGCCCTCGCACGATCTCCTTGCCTGGCAGTGGCCCACTGGGGCAACACCTCGAGGGAGGGCTGGCCACTGCCCCTTTAATTCTCCCCGGGCCTGGAATGCAAGTGAGTTGAGCTAGCCATCTCTGTGAGGTCAGATAAGATACTATATATATCGGAGTCCGTAACCTGAGCTCCGGATTACCCAGCCCCAGTCAGACTCCAGCCTCTGGGCTCTCTACTGCGCTCCCTGCCTTGCTGGGGAAGGAGAAGCCCCCAGATCCTGCCCAGTGCCCCCGGACACAGGTCAGTAGCTGCCCGTGTAGTATGTGAGCTTCATGGGGCTGCTGTCCAGGGAACCCTTTGTGTTTGGGGGGAGCATGTGAGAGGCTGCCCAACAGGGCCTGGAGGGTGCCTGAGGCAAGATGGAAGGCTCAGGCTCGGAGGGGGCAGGCAGAGGCAGGGAGAACAGGGCAAAGGCAAGCCCAAGAGGAAAGGGAGGGAGACCGGGACTCTGCCTGTGGAAGGGGCACCAGGAGAGCTCCCAACAGAGGTCATTTCGAAAGAGAATTTAAGGATACCAATACCACCCATGGGCCTGCTCCTTTGCCTTTTCTTGGAAGTGTAGAGATGCCTACCCCTCATCCTCCACCCCCCAGCCTCAAATCAAAAGGCATGCTAAAGAGATACTACCCTGGGCCTACTCCCTTCTCCACCAGTTAGGATCCTTGCCCTCATCTCCAATCTCTCTCATCCCTTCACTCCTCTCCCAGCCCTTGGGCAACTATTGGGAGCAAGAAAGACAGAGATGGATCCAAATTCCCTTGAACGACCCCCTGCCAAGGCATGCAAGAGGATTAGGCACTCAACTGGTGGGTGGCTAGCTCGGCACAAGGTGCTGAGAGACAAGAGCTACTAGTGACAGGCTGGAGGGGACAGGCAGACTAGAGCCACTGGGGACTGAGGGTATACACAGAGCCCCCACCTGGGCCCTCCACCCAACCTGCATCCGCCACAGCCAGGACATCCCACAACCTAGGAGTTGATGCTTATGCCCAGATAGTGCCCAAACAGATAAGAGTGGGAGTCAGTGTAAATGAAGGGAGATAGGACCCCTCTCTCAGCCCTCTTTACCTTTCAAGGTCAGCACATCAGCAGTGCCTCATTCCAATGGTGTTAGCAAGTGGCTTTGGAAAGCTCTGAGGTCACCAAGCACCTGGCGGGACTGGCTGGGACTCCCCACTCACCTGTCCTGGACACCTGGTCCCTAGGAGGGAAGGACTGAACTCTATTGAGGCCTACCCCTGAAACCAAGCTAGGAGCTTTCTATCCAGGCAGAGGCAAGGCCACAGAAGCTGGCATGCCTCCACCCCAGAAAGCAGAGTGGATCTGGGCAGAGAGGGGCCATGAAGGCTGCTGGGATGTGGGGCACTACCTATCCCCTACCCTGGGGGCCAGGAGTGCCTGGGATTCCTGGGGAGCAAGTCCCTCCCCTGGCTGGGCAGGTTAGGGAGCCCTTCACGTGAGCAACAGGAAATGACAGTGGCTGACGCATGGGGGTTGGCTGCCCCAGGGACACAGGGCTCATTTTAACCCCTGACTCATCTAGCCTGGGTACTTTGGGGAGTGGGCCAAGCTGCAGCAAGGGTAGGAGGCTGAGGGGCATGTCCATAACCAGGCCTTGGGCCAAGGGCCCTGGCTGGGACTAAATGCCAGTACCAGGGGACACTCAGGAGCTTGGCACTGCGGGTGAAATGGAGGCCTCCTGGACCATCTCTTGGCCGATCAGAATTGTCCTGGCGCTCAGGTTGCACTTGGCTTCGCTTTCATTTGCCTGCAGTGGAAACTCAAAGGGCAGCCTCCTGTAGGAGTCTGTACCTGCCATGCCGTTGCCTAGACAGTGGATGCCTGCGTTGCCTGGACCCCATGCCACAGGTCCTACCCTGTGCCAGCGCAGGGGGTGGGGGGGTGAGAGAAGTGCCAAGTGGGGGCGGTGGCTTCAGGGTGGCTGTTAGGGGACAGAGCACAGGTGCCAGCCCAGTGCTGCCACTGCTTGCGGCATGACCTTGAGGGATCCACGTCACTTTTCCACCAACGCTGGTTTCCTCATCAGCAAGTGGGCATAACGATGCCACCCACCGCTGGGGGCCATCGTGAGGATTAGCACATTAATACGTGGTGTCCCAGAAGTCTTTATGCAGTTACTTCAGAAGTAGGAATGCTAACTGCTTCATTGAAAAGTTTCATGATTTAATTCCTTGTCTGGTTGTTGAATTTTCAATAAAAATACTAACTTTGATTTAATGTAAATCATGATTTACGTGAAGCCTTCACATGAGGCTTGTGAGTCTAAATTCTTTCTCCAAAAGAATCAAAACCTAAAACTGCACGGAGGCTCTGGGGACGCTGAGCAGGAAGTGCACTTGCAAGAGCAGCAGGCGAGCGATGAGGGCCAGGTGAGGGCCAGCCCAGTGCTCTGGGGAGGCTGCATGACCCAGGAGAAGCTACTTGTGATGCGCTCAGGATGACGGTGCCTGGTCCAGAGGTGTTCAGTGCCTTTTGGCAGGGCCATGGTCGCTGGGCTCACATGTCCTTTCCGGAAGCAGAGGGCTCTGTGCACAGAATGCAGTTGCACCTCCCAAGATGGGGAAACTGAGAAAAGAGAGGGAGAGCTTTGGCAGAGCAGGGAAGAGTGGAGGTGCCCCTGTAAAGATGACATGGAGGAGGAGCTTGGCAGGTGGAGTGCCCCCGCTGTCCGAGGTGGCGGGCACCTGGGGAGGAGTTGCCTAGAGCCACATGCCTATACTTGCCAGCTCTGGGTAAACAACGAAAGGAGACGGGCATCAGGGGCCCCACGCCCGGCAGAGAGGGAGACGGGGGATCCCAGCCAATCGGCTCGCCTCCCACTGCCCCATGAAAGGGCCATTCAGTCCAGGCCGTTCCTGTGGCAACGAGGAGACTCAAAGCCATGTGAGTGCCCGTCCTGTCCCTGTCTTGCGCAGCAAGGCTACAGCCAGGGCCCAGCCTGCTTTCCCACCCGTGGTGTGCTCTGCAGTCTCCAGGGACAGCCGTGCCAGGTAATGCCAAGGGGCACCAACCCCAGCTGTCCGTTCACCTGGAAGGTGTTGACACTTTTCTCAAGAGTGAAACTAGGGGCTAGGGGAGGGGATAGGCATGCTCCAGGCCTCAGCCCCAGTGGAGACCCTCTTCCCAGTGAAAAGCAGCTGCGAGGGAGCTGTTAGTGATGGCATGACCCCCCAGGGCTGCTGTGGCAAAGCGGAGGTCTGCCACTTGCCTGCCAGATTGGAGCGCACAGGAGAGCGGGGACTTAGGAGCCCTCCTGGGATTCTGTGGGCCAGAAGGTGGGACTCCACCTCTAGCCGCAACCCTTCCCAAGGAATATTTGCAGGCCTTCCTGGGGCTGTCTGTCCCTGTCCCTTGTAACTTGTTCAGCCCCAGCACTTCTGCGTCACTAGCAGGGCCAGGAGAGGTCACGAGTTTGGGGCACTGCCTACAGAATACCAGTTCCCTGGGAGTCTTAGTGTGGAGGAGGGGGAGTGAGAGCCATGGGAGGAGGCATGAGCTCATGCCCTGGGAGGGAGAGTGAGGGGGGAGGTCATATCTGATTGGCTGCCTGGTGTCCCAGAGCCCAGTTCCTGAGACCTGGAGTCTCTGTGACTTTGAATTATTGATGGAGTTTCTCCAAAGTGAAATAGAGCGGGACTCGTCCCACGCCCCCACCCTGGTGCCTCCGTCTGTGTCTCGCCCGGCCTCCCTCAGCCTTCACACTCTCCTCTGTACCCCAGAAAGCTGAGCAGATGGAAGGAGAGCCATGGTTCCCCTCTAACCCTGCACAAGATCCCCCTCCAGTTACCTTTTTCCTAGAAAGGAGTAGGAGCTATGCTGGAGGTGGGAGCGCAGTGGGCAAGGGCGTGTACGCGAAGACGGAGGTCCCCCGGGACAGGTGGGAAAAGCGTACAGTAAATGTGGACCTGGCCTTTTGGAGGCAGCCCAGACTGAAAACTGCTGCCAGTCTCTGGCAGGCTCTAGAAGTTCTGTTCTAGGACCCATATGGAGGTTGCCACCTGGTGATCTCCCGCCCCCTGCACCTATCCCACGCCCTGCACGGACTGAGTTTCTAGGGCATTCTGCCAAGCCATCAGCATCCAGGGCTTGGCACCAGCTCCTCTCTGCCCAAACGTGCTGGGCCGCCAGGCAGGCTGTGGGCTGCCCGAGCCAGTGTCTGCAGCACGGCTGGATTCTGCCCACTGCCCGCTCACCCGCACATCTCACTGAGCGACGCAAGGGAAGCCTGGCGCCCAGGGCTGAGGTCAGAAGCCAGCCAGGCCAGGAGACGGCCAGCCCTGACATTATTATAGGCCTACGAAGGAGGGGCCCAGAGCCTGGCGGGGGTTGGGGGAAGAGATAATAACCACTGTCATAGTTGAGGGCTTTCCACGTGTTATTATCTCATTCATTCCTCACAACAACCCTGTGAGGTAGGGACCATAATGATGATGATTATACGCATCGTACAGGTGAGGAGATTGGGGCTCGGAGGGGCTGAATGACTAGTGCAAAATCACCTAGCTAGTCAGTCACGAGACAAGTCAAAACCAGCCCTGTACCACTACTCTGAGGTTCCTGGAAGGCTCTGCCCACCCTTCCCAGGAGCCCCCTCCCCCCGAGCTCCCCCAAGTTCCTCTCTCCATATCATCTTTGCCCCTCATACCTCATCAGCTCCATTCCAGACGAAGCCTGTGCACGTAGGGTGATGGAGGGACTCTGGTAGTCCTCAAGTGAGCCTAAACTGGATGGGGAGGGGTGAAACAAGGTCCAGTAGGAAGAGTACTGGGCTAGAAACCTGGAAGACCTGGATTCCAGTCTTGGCTCTGCTAGTTGTGACCTTGGGCAAATCAGTGTCACTGTTCCCACCTGTACCACAGAGAGGTTAAAACAGATGATTCTTTAGGATCCTTACAACTCCTCAGTTCAGAGATTTCTGTGTGCCTTCACCAGATCCACCCCAGCCCCTCTTGCGGGGTGTGGAGACAGGAAGTACTGCCTGTACTGAAGGATCTTAGCCTCTAGGGGGCCCCCTTTGCCCAAGGCATCAGCATCAGCTGGTTGGTTGTTGCATAGAGGAACCCCTGGAAGTCCACAGGACCCCAACTCCACTTAAAACACGAGTTAGGGATGCCTGGGTGGCTCAGCGGTTAAGTATCTGCCTTTGGCTCAGGACATGGTCCCAGAGTCACGGGATCAAGTCCCACATTGGGCTCCCTGCATGGAGTCTGCTTCTCCCTCTGCCTATGTCTCTGCCTCTCTCTCTCTTTCTCTCTCTCTCTCTCTCTCTCTCTGTCTCTGATGAATAAATAAATAAAATCTTTAAAGAAAAAAACAGCATATGAGTTAGATCCATGAAGAGAGTAGTTTCTGCCACATGAGGATGCCCCACCACAGCAGGTGACCATGTCCTGGGAAGAATTGTGGGATTGGATCTGGACATTGAGGTCAAGTCCACTTTCTGCCACATGCTCACTCACCACCTCCTCCCCTAGCCTCTCATGACCCTCCTTTTGCTCACCAGGGATCTATGACCAAATGATCGTCGGGCCATTCCAGCTCAGACAATGTATGATTCCAAAAAGAATCCTGCCTCTCCTTTAAGCAGGAAGAATTAATACTTCTTAAAATGTCCAGTATTTTCAACCCAGGAGTTGAGGGTGGTAGCTGAAGAGAGGAAGCAGATGAGATCTGGGTTGGAATACCATGGGTCACTGGAGGGCGGCTGAGGGTAGGGCAGTCCTCACCCTCAGAACTGGGTCTTTGCAAGGGGGCCCTCAGAGCAGCCAGGGTGTGCTGACAGCAATGGCCCTGTGTGGTTTATAAAAGCCACCTCATGTCTGGTGCTCTCACTCAGGTGTGAATGCACAGGTAACGTGCAAACCTGTGCAAAAGCCTGTATACGTGTGCACGTATACACAGGCATGGGTGTGTTTCTCAGTGGTGGGCCCACCTCTTGAGGAAATGGACGGTGTTGTCTCTGGCTGAGAACTACGAGCTGAACATCGAGCTGGGGATGAAGAGCAGGTATGGGGGAGCCTGAAACCTGGCAGGGCCCTCTGACAACTGCTTTCCTTGTCTTTCAGCCCATGAGGCTCCCAGTCCCCACAGAGTGCCACCCTGAAGGATGTCCCAGCTCTCCTCCACCCTGAAGCGCTACACAGAATCGACCCGCTACACAGATGCCCCGTATGCCAAATCGGGCTATGGCACCTACACTCCCTCTTCCTATGGAGCCAACCTGGCTGCCTCCTTCCTGGAGAAGGAGAAGCTTGGTTTTAAGCCAGGCCCCCCAACCAGCTTCCTCACCCGGCCCCGGACCTATGGCCCCTCCTCCCTCCTGGACTATGACAGGGGCCGCCCCCTGCTGAGAGCCGATATCCTTGGGGGTGGTAAGCGGGCCGAGAGCCAGACTCGGGGCACTGACCGGCCTTCAGGGAGTGGACTCAGCGGGGGCAGTGGATTTCCTTATGGAGTGACCAACAGCTCCCTCAGCTACCTGCCTGTGACTGCCCGCGACCAGGGTGTAACCCTGACCCAAAGGAGGTCGAACAGTCAATCAGACCTGGCTCGGGATTTCTCCAGCCTCCGGACCTCAGATAGCTACCGGATAGATCCTGGGAACCTGGGCCGCAGCCCCATGCTGGCCCGCACGCGCAAGGAGCTGTGTGCCCTGCAGGGCCTCTACCAGGCAGCCAGCCGCTCCGAGTACCTGGCCGACTACCTGGAGAACTATGGTCGAAAGGGCAGTGCGCCTCAGTTGCCCACCCAGGCGCCTCCCACAAGAGTCCCTGAAGTCCTCAGCCCCACCTACCGACCCAGCGGCCGTTACACTCTATGGGAGAAAAGCAAGGGCCAGGCCCCTGGGTCCAGCCGCTCCAGCTCCCCAGGGCGAGACACCATGGTGAGTTTGCCCCTTGGGGACCCGGTGATGGACTGGGGAGGCCGCAAATGATGTAGAAGACCCAGGTTGAGGGGAGGACTCTCCATCTGACTTATGATCCAAGCCAGAGGTTTCCTTTCCAAATCCCACTGCCCCAGCCAGAGAAGTCATCTCAGCATGTCTGATAGTCTTGCTCAGAGGCTTTCCCACTCTCCCTAGGAAACCCATTTCAGGACCCATGCACCCGACAACGATCCAGCAGTGCTCTCGGAAATGTTCAGCTACCCCCACATACACTGCAATCCTCACCCTCCACTTTGCCACCCAACATACCAGGGTCTCCTGCAGGCCTCACACCATCCTGAACTGAATGCTGAGGTCCCCAAACCACCCGTGTTCCCTGTGGTAAGAGAAACCTCCCTGCTCTGGTTGCATCTCTCCTCCTGCTCAGGTTTTTACTTCCCAGCCTGAGCACCTGGTTTAACATCAGGGTATAAGACATCAGAAGGAGGGGGGACCAGGGTGTGTGGACAGCAGTGCTTATCATGTGTCTTTGGAGAAGATGCTGGAGAAATTTTTGTCTAGGGCTTTAGACAATCCCATACCTCTATATTCCGGTCCTGCCTGAACTAGAAGAAAGGAAGAGCTCTGCCAGAGACAGTAGGGGCTGGCTTGCATCTAATCTGTGAACACACCTCCCTGGGGTACTGACTACATCCTGCTTTTTCTTTAGTTATTGGTGTACACATAGAGTGGCAAGCTCTCAGAGGATGAGAAAGAAATCATATCTCTAGATGCCTCCCCATGTGCCTAGCGCTGAGAGAGTTCCACTAATCTGCTGATTGCATGGATGGGTACATGGATGGATGGGTGGGTGGGTGAGTGGGCAGATGAATGAATGAATGGATGGATGGATGGATGGATGGATGGATGGATGGATGGGTGGATGGGTGGGTGGGTAGGTGAGTGGATAGACAAGCCAATGGGCAGGAGAGCTGGGTGTTATGTTTCCTTCATTACCTTATGTACCAGTCCCCTACTTCTAGGACAGGTGCCTTTTGGAAACAATAGCTATGCCACAGCAAGAAATAAATGCTGCTTAGTAGGCTCGTCCAGACAAATGGAGCAGGTGTGCAAGATCGGCACAGGGCTTTGGGTCATAGACCTTTAAGCCTGCCATAACTAAAGGTCTTGAGAGGACAACTTTGATAACATTACTTAGAGAGTGTTGGCCTTGCTGGGCTGTCTGTGAAGCACCAAGGGAGACACAAAAGTTGGTGCCTCCCAGAACATTCAGAACCTGACAAGACAAGGCTGGCTATGTTGGAGGGCTAATGTGGAAGAGGAGTAGGGGACAACAGAGGCTGGCCTTGGAAGAAATAGGTGCTACCAGAGGGACGTGTGGTTAGACTAGAGCATGATTCACTTGGACGTGTCTGGTATGGCTCATCTCAGGGGCAATCAGAAAGCACGTCTCAGTGGATGGGCTCTAAAGGCCTCTGGGAGGCTCCCTCCCTTTGCTCAGAAGAGAAAGATTCTTTAGGGTACACAGTGTTCCTCAGAGTGAAGTCTGCAGGAATCACCTGTGAGGCTTAATAATTCAGGGCCCTGGGCCCCACCCAGATCCCCTAAATCAAACTCTCTAGGGATACGCCTGGGAATCTGCCCTTTTAATAAGCTCTTCGGGTAACCTTTAAGGATGCTGAAGTTTGAAAACCTCCTCTCCACAGATGAAACTGCAGACCCACCCTCAGCCCCAATCATGAAAGCAAGGTCTCCTCCTTTATGGGGGGGAGTCAAACTCCCCTGGGACTCTGCCTCCTTCCTACACAGGCCTATTTCAAGCCTCCCTCCCTGGGGTCTGCTGCCCTCTACCCTCTCACAGGGGACACCTGAGCCCCTCCTCCACCTCCAGGACCAGATGAGGAGAGTTTTGAAAGAGGACCTCGGAGGGGTGGCAGACTGCCCTTGGGCAAACTCAGCCACCCTAACACCCCTCCTTCCCATCCAGAAACAGCTCACAGCACACTTAAGTAGCCAGGAACACCCTACGATGGAGCTAGTGTCTCACCTTGAGCTCACACTCAAGGAGACACTACCAGTGGGAAAAGGCCCCTGTGGGTCTGTGATGTAACACCCTGAATTAGCCTCACCCCCTCTCCTCACTGCTCTCAGCCTTACATCCTGCTGCCAGCTCCATCTCCTGAGGAGAGAATAGCCCTGCTCAAGGGACCTGGACCACATCTTTCTAAAAGTGGGTCCAGCATCTTTTCAGATCTCCGTTTGGGGGATCTGAGCTTCTCATGCATTCATTCACGGTATTCCGCTTACTAGCAGTGCAACCTCAGAGAAGCTCCTTAACTTCTGAACCTATTCCCTCGTGCTCGCTTCGGCAGCACATATACTGAACCTATTCCCTCTATATAACTAGTGTTCGTAGCTCCCACTCTGTAGATTATCATGAGGAATCAAAGGTTGTACAGCACATAGTAGGTGCTCAATAAATGGCAGTCCTCCTTGTACCCTTCTAGGCACTTTTGGGAGGCAAGAGAGATTTCTGCTGGAGGAAATAAGTTCTTATGATAGTTGCAATAAAAGGCAGCCCAGGGTGTTGGTAAGTGTCATAGGTGGTGGGAAAGGGAGAGGTCACCTGAGGCTGGAACGAACAGTTTGCCTCTTTAACCTTAGACACCTCTCATCTGAGCTCTGTTTCCTCATCCATAAAAGGGATGGGTCATACCTGCCCTGCCCACCTCACAGGCTGTCATGAGGCTCAAAGCAAACAGTGGATGTCAAGGAATCTGAAACCTACAAAATGCAATGGAAGAGTGGGTAGAAAAGGAGATAGAAAAGGGGCATTTGGCAGCTGAGTGGAACGGGGAGGTGACCACCCTTGTATCACGTGGCCAGGCCCAGTGTGACCTGACTCCCACCCAGGGTCCCCTGGGGTGGCCGTGACCCCAAGAGCTCTCCGGGTGGCTGACTTAAACTACATCTGACATACATAATGGGGAGTCAAAAGCAGGTCCCCAACCAGGGAGTAGAACAGTTCTAACCAGGCTCATTCCCCTCATTCGTAGTAACAGTCAACATGAACTTGGAATATTACAGACTCAGCTAAGCACAAGTAAAGGACTGGTGGTGGTGGGTGGACATGAATTCTGACCCCCCTCCCCATGCTTGCATAAGCACCAACAAAACACCAGCCCATGGAGGTGCAGCTCAGCCTAGGATAATGAGGGCTGCCCCAGGCTCCGCCTTCTGTTTAAAATGCAGACAGATTGGAGGGGAGGGACTGATGGTTCAGAACTGGCAAAAAAGAAAAAAAAAAAAAAAGCTTTCACTACCACCCCCACTCATCGCCTGTGGGAACTCAAGCCAGGCCAGGTGGGTTGGCCCTGCAGAAAACAGGAGCCCAAGCGCCCAACCCAGTTATGGTCCCCCTTGGCCCCACCTCTCTTGTTCCCTGGGCCTATGGAAGGACAAGCTGTTCCCACTGAGCCCTGCCAGGGCTGCGCTTTAACCCCTACAATCCAGCCTAATCCTCCCCTGCTCCACCCCTCCAACTGCTCCCTCCCCAGCCCTGGCATTCTGCCCACCAGCCTCAGCCCTGCCCTCACCTGGGCCCACCCTGCCCTGCCCCAGCTACCCTCTGCTCTCCCCAAGAAACGCTGGGGTTGGCACAGGGCCCTCTAGGGCACAGTCATCAGGCAAAGTACCTGCTGCTCAGATGCAGAGCCAGGGAGTGAGGCTCAGAGCCTGCCGGCCTATTCTCCCCACTCGGCCTCTTCTAGACCCTTGCCCTCTGCTCTGAAACCTATTGTTAGGAGCAAAAGGTCTGGGAACCTAGAGTACCTGGGTCCTATTTGCCAAGGGGCTGCTGACTCATCTCCTGAAGCCTTGGGTTCCCAGCTGTTAAGTGACAGGGAGATTATGTAAGCGGAGGTCATGTGATTTCACTCTTGGGTGGGACTTTGAACTTGACTGCTGCCAAGCAGTGAGCAGGGGTTACTCCAAAGAGAACAAGATAAAGGCGGCAAGAACTGCCCTGGGGGTCCTGGGTGAGGAGCAGAGAAGTGTGACCCACCTCTCTCCTCCCCTGCCTTCTCTCTCTGTTTACTCAGCCACGCTGAAGTGCATCCCCCAATGTCTTGTTTATCCAGCTTAGCAGCCTGAGACCCCAGGGCTGCCCTCACCCACTTCCTGAGGGCTTGAATCTCTGTGGACAGCATGGGGAGGTCACACACTCTCACGCTCATGGGAGACCTTAGGCCAGAGGGTCCCAGGGCCAGGAGGAGTACTAGCTGCTGAGAAAGGACAAACGCTTTGGGTTTGTGTTCAGAGTCAGCAAGATATTGATAGTCTCCATCCCTTGAAGACCAGCTATGGGCTGTGACCTGGCTGGTGGCCCCAGTGCTACCTTACCCAGGCTCAATTTCTTAATCAGCGCCCAGCATCAGCCTCCCTGCCTCCTCCTCCTCCACCCCGCTCCAGGATGTCTTCATGAATTAATGTGGTGCTGGAATGGGGCTCAGCAAGGGAAAAGTTAATCGGAGCCTGGCAAAATGTTCCTTGCCCGTGGGGGAGCCGCTCCACTGACCAGCAGGTACAGAAATGAACATCCTGTTCAAGGCCCAGAGCGTCACACATGGCCCCCTACACCCTCTCACCTCAATGGATAGGTAAAACTGGCACCTGCACAGAAATATAAGCAAGGGAGGGAAGTGTGTGGGCCTCTGGAATCCAGCTGGTTTAGGCCAGACTGCCCTAGGGCTCAAAGGAGTACAGAGCTTTTGGCCTCCTGGGGTGGGAACTAGCGATGCAGGGAAGCAAAGGGCCCTCTATCCCCTGGAACACTTGTGGGCTGGGAGCCCAACCCCCAACAAGAACTCTGCACCCCTAACAGTTCAATCAGGCAATGGAGCCACCAGGCTATCCACTTGTGGTGGTCATGACAGGTACATGCTTCGCAGGGAAGCATTTGCCTGGGTCTGAGCAGTGTTTCAAACCCGTGAACCAAGCCATCAGTGAGATCTGAGGAAGCAGGATACTCTCAGTACTACCCTCACAGAGCTAACCCTGACTCTAATTTATTTATACTCCATCCGTGCCAAAAAGGATTTGAGGTGAAGAAGCTTTCTTAACCACAGGGAAGACAGGCCAAGCACAGGCTCTGAGAAATGGCAGTCTCAGGCTGGAGGAATGAGCCCCGTTCAGATTAGCTCAGCACATTTGAGGCAAAGAGTCACAGAACCGGAGCCAGGTTCAGATCCCAGAAGACTACATGCATCCTTTACCCGTCCCACTTCGCAAAATGGCACCGAGGAGAAAGGGTGTCGTGGGGGGTTGGCCAATTGAGAAATGAGCCATGGTTCCTTGCTGGTTGTGTCCTGCAGCAGTCAGACCTGCTTGACAAGACCAGACCCTATGTGAATTCTTTCCCTGTACCCCAGGCTTCTCAAAGAGCCCCCATGCAAGTAGCTTTCCTCATCTAGACCCCCCTGCTCCCAGCAATGTCCCTAACCTTCTACATCCCAGGAAAGAGGGAGTGAGTATGCTAGCAGAATGCCAGGATGTCCTGGGGTGGGAGTACTCCTATCGCTGGCTTAAGTCATGGAGCAAAAGGCACAATGCTCCCGTAGGTGAGCACCTGTCAAGACAGTGCTTACTCAACATGCAAATCCAGACTCACCCCACCCTGTGAGGCTCAGTGGAACTTCCAGAATACCCCACAGAGCCTGGTCTGGCCCCCACTTAGAGATGAGATCAACACCATTTATGAAGCACCCACTAAGAGAATCCACAGCCCTGACCCTGAGGAGGTTTCAGTGTGATGGCATAATCAACACATGATCTAAAACCCTTTACAGAAGACTTAAAGACACTTATAAAACAAAAATAAACATATTAAGATAAATTAGTACAGTGTAACCTGAATGCCAGCAGACAAGGGGTATGCAGTGATGGGGTGTTTCAAGCTGGATGGAGTTCTTTAGAGAGGGCTTGGTGGAAAACACAAGGTTTGCGCAGAATTTGTAAGCCGGTAATGGCAGGGAGCAGGAAAGGGGATTCCAGAATCTCCTGGTAATTGTTAAAAGCATGGGTTTTGCCATAAGACAGGTTGGGGTTCAAAGCCCCACACTGTCATTTATTAGCTTTGTGGTTCTGGCAAGTCATCTGACCTCTCTGGACTTAAGGTCCTTCATCTGGAAAATAGAGATAATAGCTCCTCCATCATTGTGTTAATTATGCAAGTTCACTGGGATAATGTATATAAAGTACTTAGCCAGTGCCTGGCATTTAGTAAGTACTTAATCAGTGGCAGTTTTGTCTTTTAAGTGAGAAATGGCAAGTGCTGAAGCAGAGAAATAAGAGCAGGTTGGTTAGCAGCAGGGAACAGAGAAGAGCCATGGTGGTGACAATGGAAGGAGTCTGTGGACAGACAGCCTCACCGACAGAACTACCTCAGCTTCTGGACTGGATGCAAGAGTCAGGTGCTCCAGGTGTTTGGGGGCAGAGGTGTGGCGTCATTAAATGCACGCATTCCTGCAGACACTGTAGGACTGGCTCCAAAGATTGTGCCTGGAAAGAGGGAAGCAGGGAGGAAAAGGCTGTAGCAATGTGTCCAGGATTTGGTCACTGAGGGAAGACAGTGACTGGGGAGCTCACCATCCTCATCCTGTGCCCCCCCCTCGCTTACCATCAAGTAGCCTCATCCCCTCCCTACATGTGTCCTGGATACATCCCCCCATGTGGCTGTGGTCGTGTGTGCAGTGCGCGTGTACATGTGGCGATGAGCACGCAGAGAGGAACAGAAGGAGGCCACAGATGAGTAACAGCACACGCTGCTGCTTCTCAGAGTATTTTTAAATGCTAAAAATACTAGCTAAAAATAGCCAGCAGGCTCCAAACAAGATACTTTCTCTAGGCAGATTCTGTGTGGGTCCCCATAGGTGAGGGGGGGGTGGAGCATCCAAAACAAAATGGGAAGACCTCTGCTCTTCAAGCATTGCCGCCCTCAGGGTCAGAGCAGTACACTCGCCCCCACCCCAGCTGAGCATCTGCTTCCCCACCGCCGTGGTACTTTCTCCCCACCTCCCAAAACAAATCAAAATTTGAGATTCTCTGAGAGCTGGAGTTGGGTAACTGGATAGAAGAAGCCAGAAAATGTTCTTCCCTGGGGCCAAATGGGACAGTGACCTCTTGTACCTTATAACATCGGAGCATTGCCTCTGTTGATAGCGGGACGAACTGGGACTGGGGTGAGATGGGACGGAGCGGGGAGCTCAGTGCCGACCCCACGTCAATCCATCCTCCTCACCCCGGGGGGCCCATCGAGACCCTCGCGGGCTGTGTGGGTGTCGGGCTCCAAGCGGGCCTGAGTGCCCCCTGAGCAACGTGCAAAAAAAGTCTGCGTGCAAGTGCATCTTGCCCCGGGGGCGCGCACGGAACTTTCAGCGGGTTCGCCAACGGCCCGGCCGCCCCCGGGGATCAGGACCCGCAAGCCGCCCGGGAGGGGGGAAGCTCACCGGGGCTGACCTGGTCCAGCGGGGTCCTCCTGGATCCGGACCCCGAGGCCGGCGGGGGGCTCGGCCGCCCGTCCCGCCCCCTTCCCGGGGACGCCGGGCCTCGGCGGTGTCCCGGCCCGCGCGGTCAGCGGGCGGGGGGCGGCGGGGCCCGGGGCCAAGCGGCGGGAGGGGCGGGGGCGGGGGCGGGCGGGGCCGCGGGCAGGCGCTGGGGGCGGGGCCACGGCCTGCGGGGGGCGGGGCTGGCGCTTGCCCCGCCCCCGGCCCCGCCCCCGGCACTGACGTCGCGGGGCCCGAGGCGCCGGCGGGGCCGCCAGTCGGCCGGAGCGCGAGAGCGGGGAGCCGGGAGCCGGGGCGGTTGGCGGCGCGCGCCGGGGAGGTTGGGGCGGAGGAGCGCGCGGTCGGACCGTGTCCCGCGGCGGCCTGGCCGGCCTCGGCGTCCGGGCCGTGGCCCCGCGCGGTGCCCCCGCGCTCCCGGTGCCGCCGTTAGGCGTGGGTCCGAGCCCGCCGCCCGCCCCCCAGCATGCGCACCTCCTACACCGTGACCCTGCCCGAGGAGCCCGCAGCCGCCCCCTTTCCCGCCCTCGCCAAGGAGCTGCGGCCGCGCTCCCCGCTCTCCCCCTCCCTGCTGCTCTCCACCTTCGTGGGGCTCCTGCTCAACAAAGCCAAGGTACGCGGGGCCCCTTCCCCGGGCCCCCCACGCCGGGGGGGCTGGGCTTCCGCCGCCTCCCGGGACGCGGCCCCCCCGCCCCGTGCCGCGCGCCCCGGCGGCCGGGGGAGGATTCTCCCGGCCCCCACCCCTCCTTTCCCAGGGTCTCCCGGCAAGGAATGCCCCCTCCCCAGGTGATCTCAGGCTTACTCGCGGCCCCCTCCCCTTGTCGAGGTCCCAGCCCCTCCTCCCTCCCCGCCCCCGCCCCTCCCCCTCCGCGACCCGGCCAGGTGGCCCGTGGGCTCCTAATGCGCGGCACCTCTCGGGACAGGTGCAGGAAAGCGTAACCTTGACCGGTGCCCGCTGTGTGGGGGAGCCGGCGGCGCGCTGGACTCTGCGGCTGCGACCCCAAGGCCAGAAGCCCAGCAAGAAAAAGCTGGCGGGCCAGAGCCGCCCCCTCCTCGCTGGCCCCGAGGGCGCTCCCCCGAAGGGTTGGTAGCGGGGGTCCTTTGACCCTGTGAAGGGCAGAGGAGTCGCACACAGGTGAAAGAGGGCAACTTCTCTCTCCGTCTCGGCCCTCCCCAGTTCTGCTAAGTGCGCGCTGGAGCCCTCAAATGAAGTAGCCGCCCCAGGGTAATGCCGGGGCCAGAGGCTGGGCACTGCCCCCTTCGGGAAGGGAGAAGGGGCCAGAGCTTGACAGATCTTACGTAACAGGCACCAGCTCCCGAGTTGGCAGTGCGTGCACTGCCCCGAGCCAGGGCCACACCAGGCTCCTTGGCTGCGGCCAGGACTCATGGCTGACCCTCATGGCACAGGTGAAGTAAGCAGGAAAGCCCTTTACCGGGGTCTTGAGTGTGAAGGCACAAACGTCAGTTAGCCTTGCTTCTGTGACCCACATCCCCTAGTGTGTCCTCCCCATTAACCCAGCGCGGGCTCTCCCTGAGCCCCCCCGCCCCGCCACGGAGGATGAATGCTGTCCGTGCACTGACTGAGGAGGTGACATCTGCTTTTCAGGACAGTGGTTGCCCCCTAAGTCAAGGTTAGGTTGGCGGAGGACTAATTGTAACCAAGTTCTTAATCCAGACCCTCTGGAGTCCTTTGCATATGCGCTCCACACCGCAGCTGGAGCCCTTTCCTGCTCCCCTGGGGAGAGGCTCTGAGAGGCTCGCAGTGTGGGGTCTCTGCCGACCTCTCCGGTTCTAGCCTCTAGCCTCTAGCCTCTCGCCGTCAGGCCCTGAGGTAGGATTGTTTTCACCATAAGAAAGGTCACTCCTGGGACATTTTGTTCCTCTGTAGAATGGAAAGTGCTGACTTTCCCTGGAGCTCCTGATTTCCTATTCATGGCCGAAGAATATCTGGCTGGGCTTAGACCAGCCCTGCTCTCCCCTCCACTCCCCCCCCCCCTTATCCAGCCACCTTCCCCACAGAGCGCGTAGAAATTGGCAAGTAATTTTGAACTCGGGAAATTTTAGACAAAGGAACAAGCCACCTCCACCCCCTACAAAAAAAAAAAAAAAAAAAAGAGGGTCCTAGCAAAGCCTTAAAGGACCCTTCTCCATCTCTCCACCCGCCAGGCCCAGAGTAGAGTCAGAACCTCAAGAATAGTAACCATAGGGGATGACGTGTTGTTCCCGACCCTCACTCTGCTGGGTCAGAGTTAGACGTGTCAACACCACCAGAGTGCCTCGGTACAGAGATGCATCCAGTTTTCCACTGTGCCGCCCCCAATAGTGCTGAGTGACTACTGTCTCAGCGGAAGACCCACTTGGGTGGGCATTGACATGATCGCCAGGCTTTGCTTCTCCAGCCCCTTTAGACAGATGTTATCTGAGGCCCAGGGGTAAGAACTAACCAGCACTGCCAAAAATAAAGGAGTAAGAGCGGACCTTGGGGGAGGGGAGAGCGGGTAGCCTGCTGTGGTCAGGCTTTAACTTTTGGTTCCGAATGGGCAGCTCTGGGCAGCTCGGAGACTGCAGTGCTTTTGTTGGGCCCCAGGGGAGTCCTCCAGGTCTGCCTGAAAATGCTGATAAGGTCTTTGTCCAGGGGATTATCTCTGTTGTGGTCCTCTTACTGGAACATCAGGGTTTAGACTGTCAGAAAGGTGAGATTTAAATTTTGTGTTTGGGGCCATATACTGCCAACACTGGCAGAGTTCAAGGATGCTTATGCCCCCCCCCCCCTGCTGCCAATAAGCGTGGCTCTCTAACTACAGGTGGAAACCAGGTCTCTCTTCTGAGTATATTTCCTTCCCTACCTGGTGGTGTTAGATCTGATACCTGGCAAGAAGGGATCCTCTTACTTGTAGGATCAGCAGGGCAATTCCTGAGAAAAGCCCTCCTTCAGCCTGCCTCTCCCCACCCCACCCCCTCAAGCTGACAACCTCATGGGCTCTGAGCTGCTGACAGCCTCTGAGGCTGTCAGCACACGGCATGAGTAATTTTAGCTGAGTTATTTCAGGCTCCTGTTCTGATCAGGGTTGAGCTGGCCCCACGCATGCCCCAGTCAGTGTTGCTTCAGTGTTGCTCCAGAGTCACCAGCTCTCCGTCCCCTCCCTGAGAGAGGGGGCGGCAGGCTCATCTGCACACTGTTTCTTTAACCCTTTGAGCCCAAAGGTCTTCTGACTCCTTCGAGGTAGGGCCCGAATTAGCCGAGACCTGGGACCCAGCTGCTGTCTTGCTCCAGCTCCCTCACCAGCCTCCACGATAGAGGCGAGAACAAGAGTGGCACACTTCAACCAGGCGCTTACCTCTATGTGGCCACAGTCTGCCGTCGTCAGAGGGGTTCCCAGCCAGTGATCAGTCAGGATGTGGAAACCTGAGCCTGGCAGGGAGGATTCTCCAGGCTTTAATCAGCCTTTGGGAGCTGAGCTCAGCAGGAAGGAATTCCACCTGTCTCGGGCAATTCAGAATGGCAGGCCTGCTTCAGTTTGCCCCAGCTGAAGGTCTAAACTCACTTCAGAGGTTTTGTCATTGAACGTCTCAGGATCTCCTTGAAGTGCCTGTTATGACAGCTGCTTCATGTATTGGACATCCAGGGGTAGAAAAGTGGGTCATTTGCGAGAGCGCCCAGATTTGGGACCCGGAGTTCCTTGTAGCCAGGAATCAAACACACGAATTCCCAGGCTCCGGTTCTAATCTCCACCTCCAGTAGGGCAGAGAATGAAGAGTAAGGTACAGAATAGGAGAAAACACATGTTGACCAAAGAAAGGAGAACCCTGGAGAATATTTGTGTTGTGTGTTGAAGAGAGTAACGTGTGTGCCTAATGCTCATGGCTCCATTCGGCAGAAGGTTGCCTGAGGGAGCCTAGCGCAGGCCCAGTCTCTTTGCCTTCAGCCTCACCTGCCATGTGCTCTTTGCTTACAGAATTCTAAGAGCGCCCAGGGTCTGGCTGGTCTTCGAAACCTTGGGAACACGGTGAGCTCTTCCCAGCCCTACTTCTTTCCTAAGGCCACCCCCTACTGTCCCGACTGGGACCATATAATGATTGTTCCTTCCTGGCTGCCACTGACTCCCTCTCCTCTAGAAGCCATTTGAGACCCACCCGTCCTGGATGGTGGGTTTTACAGAATGGCCAGGGCTCTGCCTCCCTCCCAGGCCCCCAGCAGGAAGCACTGCCTAAAGGGGAGTTGCCCTCCTGTCAGCTCCTTCCCTGGATCCTAAGGACATCCCTCCCTTCCCACCCACTCCCGTCCAGCTCACCCACACCCTCTTGTACACCTCTATGGTAAATAAGCAGTTACGTCACCTGTGCCGGTAGTGGGAACTTGCCTCACTGTGCCTCGCGTTCCCTTACGAGAAGAGGAACTTGAGGCTGTGGGAGTGGTCATTTCTTTGGTAGAGGAACCAGAGGGCGTTCAGCACTATGTAAGTAGACCAGACAGGGGTCTCTGTCTTACTGATCAGATGATCTCTTGCAGTGCTTCATGAACTCCATTCTGCAGTGCCTGAGCAACACCCGGGAGCTGAGGGATTACTGCCTCCAGAGGCTCTATATGCGGGATCTCAGCCACAGCAGCAATGTACACACAGCCCTCATGGAAGGTGAGGAGCCCATCCCTGGACTCTCTCTGTCTGTTCCAGTATTGCCGCAGTAGTAGTGTGTTCTGTGTGTCCCTCCTACTTTTCTTTCTTTAGCTTCTTTTTGGATGGATTCTAGTTTGAGTTTCTCATAGAAAATGTCACCCCTACTCTCCGTGTCCCCTCTCCTCCCGGTAGAGTTTGCAAAACTAATCCAAACCATATGGACTTCATCCCCCAACGATGTGGTGAGCCCATCTGAGTTCAAGACCCAGATCCAGAGATATGCACCACGCTTCGTCGGCTATAAGTAAGAGCCTTGCAGACACGTCCCCCCCGGGGTGGGTGCCGGCCCCTGCAGGCCTGTTCTTGGAACAAGAGGCCTTGCTCACTGTCTTTCCTTTGGACTCAGTCAGCAAGATGCCCAGGAGTTTCTTCGCTTCCTTCTGGATGGGCTCCACAATGAGGTGAACCGAGTGACAGTGAGGCCCAAGTCCAACCCCGAGAACCTCGATCATCTTCCGTAAGTAAGAGGAGAATGCTGTGGGGAAGAAAAACTTGGTGAACTTGAGTTTTGGGCTGACTTCTTTGGGAGTAATAATTTGGAGAGAATTTGGAATATTAAGCATTTAGACTGATAGGCTCTTAGACTTCTCATGGCATGCACTCTGACCCAGTTGTCTCCCTCTCTCGGGTTCCCAGTGATGATGAGAAAGGACGACAGATGTGGAGGAAATATCTAGAACGGGAAGACAGTCGGATTGGGGGTAAGTGTATTAATTGGAGGAATGCCTGCTCTCCCTGTTCACTGATTTCGCCTGAGCAGAGCGTGAGCATGAAAAGCCCTATGAATCATCCTCCCAGGGAGCCCCCCTCCTGCCCTGTTTCCCACGGACAGAGGCAGGAGCACCGAGAGGGCATGCAGCCCAGAGGAGATGTGTGTTCCTTCTCTGAGTTTAAGCTCTGCTGTCCCATCTCATCCGCAGATCTCTTTGTTGGGCAGCTAAAGAGCTCCCTGACTTGTACTGACTGTGGTTACTGCTCTACTGTCTTTGATCCCTTCTGGGACCTCTCATTGCCCATCGCTAAGGTACATGCCCCTGTTGCCCTACTTTGGGATCTCCCACTCTTACCTTCTCTTGTCATTGACCTCTGACTTTTTGTCTCTCCCAGCGAGGTTATCCCGAGGTAACTTTAACGGACTGCATGAGGCTCTTCACCAAAGAGGATGTGCTTGATGGTGATGAAAAGCCAGTAAGTCCCCCCCCCTCCGTGGGAGCAAGAGCACACGCCCAAGAGACCCCTCTGGGAAAGACCTGTCACTTGCAGACGCAGCCTAGGAGTTAATAGACTTGGCCCAGTGACCTCTCCCCCAAGTCCTCTGTAGCTGTTTGTCATGTCTTGCAGACATGCTGTCGCTGCCGAGCCAGAAAACGATGTATAAAGAAGTTCTCCATCCAGAGGTTCCCAAAGATCTTGGTGCTCCGTATCCTTAAGATCCACCATGGCGGGGACTTACCTTTAGAGAGTGGCTGGTGACAAGGGGCCAAAGTGAGGGCAAGCAGAGTAGGAAAAAAGGAAATTTGGTTGACTTTCCTTTCCTTCCTTTGCTCTTCTGATTCTGGGAAGGGCATCACCCTCTTAGGGCCTTGTCCCCTTTACTTTGACTACCCTCGCCACCCTCTCTGTCCTTGACTTACATCAACACCAGATCTGAAGCGGTTCTCAGAATCCAGGATACGAACCAGCAAGCTCACAACATTTGTGAATTTCCCACTAAGAGACCTGGACCTGAGAGAATTTGCCTCAGAAAACACCAGTGAGTATTTTCAGCTGGGAGGGCAGAAATGAGGCACAAGTGCCTAAAATCCCGATGGGAGGCCCCGAGGTGGAAGGAAGCGGCTGCAGAGTGAGTTAGGAAAAGCAGGAGGGAGAGGGAACGTGGGGCAGGAACACGCTGGGGGCCTGAACCCATCTACTTCCTCCTCAGACCACGCTGTTTACAACCTGTACGCTGTGTCCAATCACTCTGGAACCACCATGGGCGGCCATTACACAGCCTACTGCCGGAGTCCAGTGACAGGCGAATGGCACACTTTCAATGACTCCAGGTGAGATGGTCTCAGGCGGGGCTCCTGCTGGCAGACGCCTGAACCTCGCCCATCTGTGTGGCTTCCACTTGGACCAGATAGGAGAGGTCAGTGCCAAGAGGCCGTGTGGTACGTAGGAGTCTGCTGCCCATTTGCAGACTTCCTAGAAGAGATGGGCTCCAGGGCACCCAGGGAGAGGAGCCACGGGCCCTCACCGCCCCTCCGGCACTCAGCTTGTGTCCCCAGGGCCCCCGCAGGGCTCTGACTTCTCTCCACTCTCTCTGCAGCGTCACACCCATGTCCTCCAGCCAAGTGCGCACCAGCGACGCCTACCTGCTCTTCTATGAACTGGCCAGTCCGCCCTCCCGCATGTAGCAGAGAGGCGCTCCATCCCTCTCTCCCTTCCCCGGGGTGGCCCCACACCCTAAGTGTTTTTTTTTTTTTAAGACAAAAAAAAACTGACAAATAAGAGAGAAATAAAGTAAACTAAAGCTGCCGAGCAGGAGTTGGCTGCAACCTGGTCAGGATCTGTAGCGAGGAACCAGGAGCTCCCGAGCCGCCCCTGGCATGAAGATCGACAGGACGCAGAGCCTGGAGCTGGCACGGTGCCCCCTCGGCTTCTCTTGTTTGCGTTTTTTAAGCTTGTGGGTTTTTTTCCTGTGTGTAATAAACAACAGCGGTCTGTGGGGAGCAGATCCTGGTCCACTTGCTGCCCTTCCAGCCCCTGCTCCTCCCGAGAAGACAGCGCCCTCTGGAGCCTGCTGGGAGGATCGCTGCCCGGAAGCCCCGGCGCCGGAGCCTGGCACAGTCTTCACCTGGACCCCCGCTCACTGGTCCAGAAGCAAGAAAAACACCCATGAGCCAAGAGCCCTCTTAACGCTGCTAACTCCAGGGGGACAGACAAGGGGACGACTTTGAAAAGAGCTGACTTGGGTTTTTAAAAACCCAACTTTTTTGTTTTTTAATTACCATAACTAAAGTTTTCAGACTGGAGATGCTCTCCTTCACACCTCTTCACAGCTGGGACATTGTGCTGGTTATTTTTTTTTTAAGTTCTTCAAATACACCTTTTCTGATGCTAGCCCCCAGTGGTGCTCGGGGGGTGTTGGCCAAGCCCCAAGCACAGCCACAGTAGACCCGGGATCTAACAAGTTTTTTTTTTTTTTTTTTAATGTTTTGGATGGAATCTAGTTGCCTCCAAGAATTGTGCCTTATAGCATTTGGGGACCAGGGGGTAACTGCCCCTCCCTGAAATATCCCTCAGCCTCTTCCCTTTTCCCCAGTGCCATGCTCAACCCCACTGGGGGAGATGGGGGTCCTGCCCTTACCCCGGGCTTGGTTTGCATCGGTGAGGCGGAGAGGAGAGTTGGTAGAAGGAGATTTCTTCCGGTAATGTATCAAGTTTTTCCTGCCCACTTCCTCTACGCCCCCCCCTGGTCTGCTCCCCAGCTGCTGGAAGGATAGCACAAGCCCCTTACCCCTAGAGCCACTCTCAACCATAATTTATTCCCTTTTAACGTGTTTTCTTCTTGACCTTCGTGCCCTTGCCCCTTCTCAGAGCCTCCTAGACATAGGCCCTTTGGACCGAGTTTCTCAGGGATGCCCATGCCGCCCCTCAGCCCCTCCCGGCATTGGTCTGCAGTCCTGCCCCGGGAGCCGGAGCCTGGGTGTTGGGGGACCTCTTGCCTCAGCTGTACGATTCTCTCCCATGGGTGTGATCTTGCCCTAACTGGCTGGACATAACTTGGTGCTGAGAGAGTAAAGCTGTGCAGCACCAAGGCACGGAAGCTCGGTGCGTCCGCACAGCTGGGCCCAGCTTGTGCCCCTTGGAGCCTGAAGCCTGCCAATGCTCCCAGGAGGCGGCATCAGAGAAAGACGCCCAAAGCTGAACCGGCCTGACCCCCCTCCCCGCCCGTCCCAGGGAAGCCCTGTGAACCTGAGCCAAAGGGCTGATGTGCACTTGTTTACTATGTAAGCAGGAGTAGAAGAATGTCTGATGTACAGTGGAACCTTGTACAGAATAAATAATAGCTTTGAGAAGTTGGTAAGTGATGGCATCTTGATTTGGGAAGGGTCTGCACCCAGGAAGAGCTCTGAGCAGATGAGTCCCTAGGTATTTTACTGCTTCAGCCAGACCGTGAATTCCAAGTTCTCGAAAAAGTTGCCCACTCTAGTCTAAATTTTTCAACGCTACACAACTGAAATAGTACACGTTTTGAATGCTATTCATCTGGATTCACCAGTTAACATTTTGCCACATTTGTTTATGGATACTTTATTCCTGGGGGCAAAACACGTAGGGGCGAGGTGTCCCTACCCCCCCCCAATACTTCAGCATGCATCATCCCATGTAACCTCAACACCCTCTTCACCCCTAAGAAATGTGGCACATCTGGTAGACGCTTCTTTAAATGGACCATCTGCCGTTTAACTGCTGGTGTGGACACTCACAGTGCCCTTGACACTCAGGTGCCTGTACAGACCCGTGACGAGCTCCAGCAGAGGTTGGGCGTAATGACATTTGCTCTTGGGGCCGAGTGGCTGTCCCTGAATGGGGGGGGGGGAGCAAGATTTGGCACTTGATAAACGAGAGACTTCAGCTTGCCCTGTTAATACCTAGAAAGAGCTGCTTTTACAATAAAGGTTTCCTTCCCCGAAGTGCTTTTTTTCAAGATTTAAAACAGATGTAACCCTTTAAAGAGATTGCCTCTTTGGGGCACTCAGGGACCTGGCTCCTTCGGTTTTTTTAACTCTTAGTATTATTCAGATTTTCTATTTCTGCCGCTGATTTTAGAACTCTGGAAGCTGAAGCCTCCACCAGCTGAGTATTTTATCAGGATTTTTCCTAGCTGCCTCCCTGCTCCGGACACTAAAAAATCAAGGCCTGTCTGTTCTGTCTTTGCTGAGGCAGCAGTGCCTGCTGTCAGACTCACATCATGGGGTGAGACCGTCGTGGATCATTTCTTCTGGGCGTTCCCCAGGAGTGGGAAAAACAGTGACTCAAACCCTGGTATTTCTCCCTGGCCTGCCCTGGAAGTGGCCTGACCCAGGGTAAGATTTTTAAAGGCAGCTGCTTTCCCCAAAACTACAGGTGAACAGCATGGTCTTTACAAGGGAAAAAGGCGTCTGGCAAAGTGGATGGGTGAGCCCCAAATCAGTGTACCTTGCTGCACGTCTCTCGACCAGTTTTTCACTGGATGTGGAAGCCACCTGTGCATTTCTGTTGTCTTCCACAGGGGAGCAGAGGGCTATGGGTAATGTCAAGGGCAGGGGTTCAGCCCACTCCACCCTTGCTCCCCAGCTCTCCCTTCCGTACTTAACCTGTGGCTTTCTCATTCCCATGGCAACAGGTCTGGGTGCTACACAGATCCCAAACACAATCTGTCCCCATGTTTCTTTATCCATCAGCTTTGCCTCCTAGCAACTGGGATTTCTTCCCCCATTCTTTGCTTGCCTTCCAGCAGGCCTCCCCCTGGGGAGGAAAAGGGGGGCTCTCCCCCCTGCAACTGTTCTTGTGTGACCTTGAGCAAGAACTTCCCTCTTGCTGGGCCTCGTGCCTCATCTGCATTAAGGAGATTGGACCTGGAAGTTCTCAGTTCAAGTGTCTTCCTCCTAAGTCACTTCTCTATAAATACACGCCTCAAAGTCCCAAGTGAGGGGGCCTTTCATGCCTCTGGTTCCAGTTTAAAGAGTTACTCTAGATTTTTTTTTAATGACCAGTGCTCAGAAGATACATATTTCTCTCCGTAAAGCGTCAGAGTCAGGACCATAGAGGTCACCTTGTCCATATTCTCATTTTGCCAGTGAGGACACAAGCGCTAGAGAAGGCTGACTCAAGTCCCCTGGTTTGTCAAAGGCAGAGGCAGGACAATTCTCATTTCCATCTCAGTACTCTGACTTCTGGGTGAATAATTGACAGCCCCTTCAGGACTTTCTGCAACAAATTTTCCAACCTTGTGTCTGTTAGGAACTGAGCTGAACAGCAGGGGTAGCAAGGAAACCCCCTGACTCAGTACTTCCACACACACCCAAGAGCAAAACCACAATCTGTCCCACACCTAGGCCCCAGCAGGGTCGGCACCGGGCACCTCTGAGGGCCCCTGCCCTTCATTGCTCTAGAGGCAGAAACGAGCACCTGAGCAGGAGGCAGCAGGCAGCAGAGAGATTTGCATTTATAGTCCAAGCAAATTACTTAATTGCTCTGAGCCTCAGTTTCCTCCTCTGTAATCCGAGCATAACAATACGTACTCAGAGTTGTGTCAGGAACATACTAGGTATTCAAATGTCCACCTCCTACACGCACACCCACATTTCCAGGACTGTGCCATCAACATCCACATTCTCTTAGTGGCTGATGATCAGGCAATGTTTGGTTCCCCAGCCTCTCAGGATGCTGTTTCTTCTTTTCGCCTCCAAACAACATGCAATAAAGGCTCAGGAATGCAAAGTAAGTATAGCATTGCCCAAACCAGAATCAGTGAAGCAGAACCACAGAAGGGAGGATCCAAATCCAAGGGACGAGCATTTCTAATTTCCTGATATTTTGCTGTAGCCTGTCTCTTGGAGATCACGGAAGGCCGGCTGGGATCAAGCTGCCATCTTCCAGGCTCCTAGAGTTTGAGATGATCCAGAAACCAGGGGATGAGGGTCAAGGCTAGGGGTGGCAGTGGACAAGGAGAGCGAGAGGAGCAGGACTGACGGTTCCTAATGTACACCGCTGGTGTTGGCCCTCGGAACAAGGAAGGAAAGCATTCTCCATCTGGACACTTGTCTTTAGTAGGAAGGACATGGCATGTTCCAGGGACAAAGAAGAGGCTGGTCTGGCTGAAGTGGAAGTTTGAGGTAGCAAATTAGAAGGATAGAAAGCTGGAGAGCGGGAGGTCCCAGAATGTTCTAGCCAACCTCCGGCTGGCCTCGTCCTTCCTGGTGGCAGAAGAGCCACAGGGATGGGCAGCCCCAGTGGTGCAGCGGTTTAGCGCCACCTGCAGCCCAGGACCTGATCCTGGAGTCCTGGGATCGAGTCTCAGGTTGGGCTCCCTGCACGGAGCCTTCTTCTCCCTCTACCTCTCTCTCTGTCTCTCTGTCTCTCTGTCTCTCTCTCTCTCTCTCTCTCTCTGTAGCTCATGAATAAATAAATAAAATATTTAAAAAAAAAAAGAAGAGCCACAGGGAGTCAAGGAGAGAGAACCGTGTGTGGGTCAGTGTGGGGGAGCTACAGGGAGCCGCGCTCTCAGTAATACAAGCAGAAGCCCAAGACAGCTAGAAATCACTGGGGCATCTCTCAAGTTCCCCTTACCCAGAGGATGGGCAATGGCAAAGCCAGAGAGAAGCTTCCCTCACAGCCTCTGGAAAACTGTCCTGTGTGCTCACAAATGAAAAGGAAATAAGGGGGCACTTGGGTGGCTCAGTGGTTGAGCGTCTACCTTTGGCTCAGTCGTGATCCTGGGGTCCTGGGATCAAGTCCTGCCTTGGGCTCCTTGCGGGGAGCCTGCTTCTCCCTCTCCCTGTGCTTCTGCCTCTCTCTGTGTGTCTCTCATGAATAAATAAATTTAATATAATTTTTTTAAAAGAAAAGGCAAATAAGATCTTAGCATCATGATGGAAATACTTTTGACTTCTCAAACCCTCTAAAAGCTGTCCCCATCCAAGGGTTCAAGAAAAATGGCTTGCCCCCAAAACAGGGCCCCGCAGGGGATGACTGGAGAAGAGCCTGTGGGTGAAGGGTCCCCCCACCCCAAGTATGAGGACAGCAGCCTGAAGCATCACAGAATCTGCTGCCTCTGTTTCCTCTCCCTACTCCGGGTTCCTCTGTTCCCTGCTGTCGCTGTCACCACAGGCCTGGGCCCCAGCTGAGGGAGACAGGTGTGTCCTGGAAGGCACGCACCTTGGGTTTCCCCGGCCCTGGATTCGAATCTTGCCTCTGTATCGCACCGGCCATGTGGCCTTGGGAAGCCTCGGTGCCATCATCTGGGAATTGTTGCGCTTCCCCGCAGCCGCGTGACCTAAGGAGGGAAACAACCCACGAGGCCTCTTGCCCGGGGCCGACTGCGTAACATCCTGCCAAGAGTAGCCACCCCTCATCGTGCCCTGCCCTACCCAGCCGAGCACGGCTAACACGAAGCCCCCCCCCCTTTGTCCCCGAGGACTGCTGGGCCAGGCTGGGGTTTTCCAAGAGAATGTCGTCGCCATGGAAGAGGCATGAAGGGGTCTAGCTTGCGGAGGGCGGGTTTTCTATCCCGCGGCAGCAGATGGCACCAAGTGCCAGACTCGATGACACCAGGCTTAGCGGAGGGCCTGCCCGGCCCACCTGTCCGAGGACTCGGCACCCCTTCCGCCCCTGCTCGGCCGCTCTGCGCAGGCCGGGGGGCCCCAGGAAGAGGCGGCCAGCCCCTCCCGCTCCTGGTCATGGCAACACATGCTCCCTGTACCACTTCTCTCCTGGTCCTGGCCACACGGGTACTGTCACGGGGACTCCCAAAGACCCAGGCTTGGCCCGGCAGCCGGGTTTGCCTGGAGCCCTCAGGGCTCGTAGGCCTTCCAGCGGCCAAACCCTCCACCCGGCTCCCAGGTGCCCTCGTGCCTGCATTGTCCTCCTTCCCTCCATGCGCCCAAGTGCTCACTCAACACTTTGGGGGAGGTTAGGAAAGTAGGAAAGGGGGTGTCACCCCCCCACACAGAGCACCTACTCTCCTCTGTGGGATGCGGGGTGTTCTCAGCCACTGCCTGTGCCTTTAAGGACGGCTGCCCAGGGCCAAGCCCTTGACCTTAGCATCCTCAGCTGAGTTGGATTAAGGGACCATTTCATGCCTTTGCAAATTCCTCCGGCTGCAGGGACAGAGGAGCCAGGAGCCTGAACCTGGCCTGAACCTGGCGGCCAAGGGCAGTCTGAGCGTCGGTCTGGTGCAGCCGCCCCTTCCCAAAGGGAGCAGAAGTTGCCCCTCGGACAGGCTTCTGGGGTCAGGGAGGGGCCCTTGGCGGCCTCGGGCCATCACAGGGACTCCCGGAGAGCCATGCAGAGCCCCGAGCCATGAAGGAATGCTCAGATGTCATCCTGTGTGTGGAGGCGACAGGGCTGAGCAAGGTAAGGGTCCCATGGGACAGCTCTCCCAAGACCCAGATCCCCGCCTAGGGCTGGCCGTGCCCAGGGACGTGCCAGCCAGGCAGTGCCGCCGCTGGCCCTCCACCCTCAAGTCTTTCCCTTTCAGACTGAGTTCTGCAATCCTGCTTTTGAGCCTGAATCAGGGCCACCGTGCCCTCCAGCGGCCTTCCGGGAGGATGCCAGCCGCGGCGTCCCAGCTCCCTGGCACGGTAACCATCTCGGGGAGCGACCCAGGGGAGGACAGAGAGGCCCAGGAGCTGAGGACAGTGTGAGGGTTGCCTAAGGAGCTCTCAGAATGCCACCCTGCCCCCCACCCGCAGGTCGGCGCCCCCGAGGGCTGCAGCCAGACTGCCACTTCTCCTGGCTGTGCGTCCTCCTGCTGGCCAGCCTGCTCCTCCTGCTGCTTGGGCTGCTGGTGGCCATCATCCTAGGCCGTGAGTACCACGCCCTGCTTGGGAGGAGGACTTTGGAATGAGATTCCATGAGCCACTTGATCTGTCGCCTCTGGGGATCCAGGTCCTCTGAACCCCACTCCCCCATCTTCCCACTTCCAGAGTTTCGGGCTACAGCCCTGTCCGGGGCCTCCTCTCACCCACTGCCTGCCGAAGGCCTGACACCCAGCAGGACCACCAACCCCACTGCTCCCTCCACCACCACCATCTCTCCGGCATCTGGGGACCCTAAAGGACAGCTGGAGGAGACAGGCATGAGCCCCTCGCCCCCGTCCAGTGAGTACCCAGGGCAGATCTTCCTGGAGAAGAGCCCAAGATATCAGGAGGGGAGGGCAGGGGCCAGGAAGAGGAAACTTGGAAATCCTTTCAACCTCGGAACTCTAATCTTCATCTCTGCAGCCTGTGGGGGCCTCCTTCCCGGCCCGAGGGGCTTCTTCAGCAGCCCCAACTACCCAGACCCTTACCCACCCAATGCCCACTGCGTGTGGCACATCCAGGTGGCCACAGACCAAGCCATACAGCTCAAGATCGAAGCGCTCAGCATGGAGAGCGTGGCCTCCTGTCTTTTTGATCGCTTGGAAATCTCCCCTGAGCCTGAAGGACCCCTCCTCAGGTGGGTCCCTCCGCCCCCAGGAGACTCACCCCTGCCTGTGCCACTGTCTAGAGGACAGAGCCAGGGAGCAGCAGTGGGAAAGACTGGACTGGGAGGAAGCTGAGAGACCCAACCTGGGCCCAGCTCTGCCACCAGCCTGCTGTATGACCTCGGGAAGGTCGCCTTCCCCCACCTATGTGGCCCATGAACAAATGCCACAAGGTTGGACATGAGGGTAAGGAGGGTCAGAGCTCCCTGGGACATAAAAGGATGCCTTCTGACCCCACTGTCACCAGGCCAGGGCTTGAGGAAAGAGGACTGCAGGGCCCAGGCAGCCTCCACCCCGGCTGGCCCCGAGCTCTGAGCCTCCAACACCCCCACCCTGGCTTCTTGCAGAGTGTGTGGGAGGGTACCTCCCCCAACACTCAACACCAACACCAGCCACCTCCGGGTGGCCTTCGTCTCCGACAGCAGTGTGGAAGGATCTGGTTTCCATGCCTGGTACCAGGCTGTGACTCCTGGGAATGGTGAGTGTTTTCCCACCATGTCTCTGGCTGCCTCTCAAGGGTCCCCTCCCCTCCCCTCCAGACATGCCCAGCCCTGGCAAAAGGGGTGCCAACTCTGGGAGTTTCTGAATGCAGACACCCATCCCCAGGGAGCTGTGCTGAGGACGAGTTCCCCTGTGACCAGCTCATCTGCCTGCTGCCTGACTCAGTGTGTGATGGTTTTGCCAACTGCGCTGATGGCAGTGATGAGACCAACTGCAGTGCCAAGTTCTTGGGTAAGGGCCCTGCCGGGTGCAGGGCGGGTACTGTCCTCGGGCATCTGATCCAGGTTCGGCCTAGGCTCCCCAGCCCTGGCCCAGCCCCAAGCTTGCCTGGATGTTCTTCTGGCCCAGACGTGCTTCCTCAAGTGCCTGGCCAAAACTCTCCCCTGAGGTTCCTGCTGGCCCAGACCCTGGCATACTCGTGAGCCTCCTCCTCTCTGCAGGGTGTGGGGGGAATCTGACCGGGCTCCAGGGTACTTTCTCTGCTCCTGGCTACCTGCAGCGGTACCCTCACCAACAGGTAAGCCGGTGCACCACGGGGAGGGGGATGTGGCACCTGCGGGCACACCTGTGACTGGGAACAGCATGGGAGACACTGCCTGGTTCTTGCAGGGTTTAGAGCTCAAACAGGCAGCAAGGGAACAGTTTTTAGAGCTTACCAGGTAGCCAGGTGTTCCCGGGCTGGGTAACCGTCTCTCGGAGAGCAGAGGAATTAAAAGGCCCATCCACCACCAGTGCGAGAGCTGGGTGGGCCACCGCCAGCCGCTCCCTACCCGGCCTGCAGCAGGAAGGAAGCCCTGGATGCCCAGCTCAGGACGGGAGACGCAGCCTGAGCGACCCCATCCGTGCCCTCCCCCAGCTCTGCACCTGGCACATCTCGGTGCCTGCGGGACACGGCCTGGGACTGCAATTCCACAACTTCAGCCTGGAAGCCCAGGACGAGTGCAAGCTGGACTACGTGGCTGTGTATGAGACCAGCGATTCAGGGGCCCTTGGCCTCCTGGGCAGGTAGCCGTGGAGCAGCAGCCCCGGAGAAACTCTGACGGGCAAGGCCTCCTGCAGATTGACCCTGCTCTCTCCCTGGCTTCCATCACCTTCTGCTCTAAGCCAGAGGCCTCTTCACCATCACTGGAGGAAGAGGCTTGTTCTTCCTCAGCCCAAAACCTTTGCTTCGTGTTGCCCTGTGCACAAGGTCATTTTCCTGTGCCCTCCCTGCCTGGCTCTCCTGCCCTGCGGGGCCCACTCCCACTTCCCCTCAAACCTCGCTGGTTTTTCTCATCGCCAACTGGCTCGAGTCCACCATTTGTTTAAGGCTTTGCCCACTAAATATGTGGCCCTAAGTTCCCTGAGTCAGCAGCCCTGTGTCCCATCCCCACTGACAGTGCCCAGAGCACCAGCTCAGAGTGAGGCCCGTGGGAGCACCCCGGAGGTTCAGGGCCCCCTGCCTAGGTCTGCTCTCTGCCTCGGGCAGGTTCTGCGGAGCGGAGCCACCACCTCGCCTCATCTCCTCGCACCAGCACCTGGTGGTGCTCTTTAGGACGGACCGTGGCATCAGCAGTGGGGGCTTCTCTGCCACCTACCAGGCCCTCAATGCCACAGAGAGTAGGTGCCCCTGGGTGAGCGGGTGTGGGCCGCAGAGGCTCCTCCAGGAGAACGAGGAAGGGCTCCAGATCCCGGTCAGGGCACCGTGAAGGCAGGGTAGGGGCACAGGTGTGTCCCCACTGCCATGCCCGCTCTGCCTATAGATCCCTGTGGGCCGGGAGAGTTCTCCTGCCATGATGGAGGATGTAAGAGTCTGCAGTGGACATGTGACACATGGAGACACTGCACAGACAGCAGTGATGACAGTTGCAGCAGCCCCTTGTTCCCACCTCCAGGTGAGAAGTGCACCCCAGAGCACCATAGGCAGGGCCTGGCAGGCCAGGGCAGGCTGGGGATCCGGTCATAGAAACCCCACTGCCATGCTTCATAACAGCCCACCCCTGTCCTCCCTGATGGGGGGACTCAGGATCCTGACCCTGGAGCTACACCACAGAGTCCGGGAGGGATTCTCACATGGTGGGGGCAATGGTACTTAATGTCACCAGGGAAGTGGGAATCTGGGAGTCGATGGCTGGGGTTTCGAGAACCAGCCCAGCCTCATCACTCAGCACCCTCTGCACAGCCCACCTCAGAGAGGAAGGTGAGGGGCACCTAGCTGGCCTGGTTGGTAGAGTATGTAACTCTTGATCTTGGGATCATGAGTTTAAGCCCCACCTTGGGTGTGGAGCCTACTTAAAAAAAGAAGCAGATGATGATGATGATGATGGAGGCAAGGACAGGGGACAGGGGAGTTCCTTTCAGATGCCCAGCAGGCCCTGCCAATGTCGGTGCCCCCACACTCCCGAGGTCAAAGAGACACCTGCACGATGCCCAGGACCAGCAAAGGATGTTCGGGCAGGCTCTCGAGGATAACGGGCACCCACGACGTGCACAGAGCATCTCCGTGCACGTTATCTCCTTTGATTCCCGCAACAGCCCCCATCTGACCCGGAGCGAGTGGTTAGGGGACTTGCCCCAGGTCAGAAGCCAGGGTACCCCCACAGTGATTCTCCCCTCCCACCCCCGCAGAGCTGGCCTGTGAGCCTGTCCAGGTGGAGATGTGCACCGGCCTGAGCTACAACACCACGGCCTTCCCTAACGTCTGGGTGGGCATGGCCACCCAGGAGGAGGTGGTGGAGATCCTCAGAGGTTACAAGGTGCTCTGGGCAGAGATTAGGAGGGACCCCCAGACGTGGAGGGAGCCTAGGGAGTGGGGTGCCTGAGGGCTGATCTCCTCCTTCCACAGAGCCTGACAAGTCTGCCCTGCTACCAGAATTTCCGGAGGCTCCTCTGCGGGCTGCTTGTGCCCCACTGCACCCCCACAGGCAGCGTCCTGCCCCCCTGCCGCTCTGTCTGCCAGGAGGCCGAGCGCCAGTGCCAGTCTGGCCTGGCTCTACTGGGTACCCCCTGGCCTTTCAACTGCAACAGGCTACCTGAGGCGGCTGGCCTGGAGGCTTGTGCCCAACCCTGACCCTGAAGCAGGCCCCTGCCCTCTGCCTGCGGGTCCAGCTTTGCCTGTCAGGGCGGGCAGGCAGGGGACTCTCCCCATCCTCTCTGGAGCCTCCCAGGGAGGGGAAGAGAAGTCCTCGGCAGGGCTAATGGAAGCTTCCCTGCCCTTTACTTCCCCAGCTCCACCGTGCCACTGAGCCACCGGCCGTGAGGAGTGCTTCCCATCTGAGCGCCACCTCCAATCTCGTGCCTTCCCTTTGCCACCTACTTTCTCAAGTTCTCCATCACCTGCCTTCTGACTCTTTCATTTATTCAACAAAAATGTACCGAGTGCCTAGGCGTGTGGCAGGCCCTGTTCAGGTCCCACATCCAGCTGTCCGACCGCCTCTAGAACTCTGCCCTCTGGGTTCTCAGCTTCTACCTCCCGGGACTGGGCCTGTCCCGGGTCCCTGGCACCGCAGCATCTCTCCTTGCGGCTCCTCAGCAGCGGGTGTCCCGGCGTCTGTCTCACAGCCCTGCCTCTCTGTGCCCGGCTGAGACTCCCCCTCCCTTCTCCCCCAAGCCTTGGCCGGCGGCCGGGCGACACCACGAGTTATTTCCCTGCTATTTCCCGGCCGGGAGCTCCTGGCCCCTGAACAACTGGTTTCCTCTTGGAGTCTGGGAGGAGCGGAGCGGAGCCGGCAGGGAGCGAACCGGGACCGGGGGACGCCGAGGGCAGGGGACGAGCGCAGGGGCGGGGCAGGGTCAGCCGGAGGGTCCGGAGCCGCGAGCGCCCGAAGGAGGCCGGGGAGCCGGGAGGGGTGAGTGTGGCGGGGGACGGGCGGGGGTGGGGACGGGAGGGCCCGGGTGGGGGGGAGCCGCCAGCCTCTCCTGCCCCCCCCCGCCCCCGGCGCCCTCGGTCCCGGCCCTGGGGGCGCCTCTCCCCCGTGCCCCGCGGCCGCTCAGCCTCAGGCGGGTGGCGCTGGGGTGGGACCCAGTGGGCCGCGCCGGGCGGGCAGCGAGCCGGCCCCGGGCTTCTGGGTCCCGACTCCCGTCCCGCCCGGCCCGCAGACCGCGAGACCCGGCGGCCGGAGCGCCCGTGCCGCGCCATGAGGCCGCTCGTCGCCCTGCTGCTCCTGGGCCTGGCGGCCGGCTCGCCCCCGCTGGACGACAACAAGATCCCCAGCCTGTGCCCGGGCCACCCCGGGCTTCCCGGCACGCCGGGCCACCACGGCAGCCAGGGCCTGCCCGGCAGGGACGGCCGCGACGGCCGCGACGGCGCGCCCGGGGCTCCGGGAGAGAAAGGCGAGGGCGGGAGGCCGGGTAAGAAGGCGGCGGGGTCGCCGTCGGCCGGGCGGTCCCGCTCGTCGGGCGGAGGGCCGGGGCTCGGGGTCCCGCCAGGGGGCGCCGCGGGCTCGGGGCTCGGGGCTCGGGGCTCGGGGCTCGGGGCTCGGGCTCCGGGAGCGGGGCGGGTGGCGCAGCGCGCGGCCCGGGGACCCTCTGGGGGCCTGCGGGCGCCCCCCGGCAGGGCGGGGAGGGGGCCGGCAGGGCGGGGAGGGGCCCGGGCCCGCCGGCGCCGCCGCGCTCGCCCCTGACCGCGCCCCGCACCCCGCAGGACTGCCGGGGCCGCGGGGGGAGCCCGGGCCGAGAGGAGAGGCGGGGCCCGCGGGGGCCACCGGGCCGGCCGGCGAGTGCTCCGTGCCCCCGCGCTCCGCCTTCAGCGCCAAGCGCTCCGAGAGCCGGGTGCCTCCGCCGGCCGACGCGCCCCTACCCTTCGACCGCGTGCTGGTGAACGAGCAGGGACACTACGACGCCGCCACCGGCAAGTTCACCTGCCAGGTGCCCGGGGTCTACTACTTCGCGGTCCACGCCACCGTCTACCGGGCTAGCCTGCAGTTCGATCTGGTCAAGAATGGCGAGTCCATCGCCTCTTTCTTCCAGTTTTTTGGGGGGTGGCCCAAACCAGCCTCGCTGTCAGGGGGCGCCATGGTGAGGCTGGAGCCAGAGGACCAGGTGTGGGTGCAGGTGGGCGTGGGCGATTACATTGGCATCTATGCCAGCATCAAGACAGACAGCACCTTCTCGGGATTTCTGGTGTATTCTGACTGGCACAACTCCCCCGTCTTTGCTTGATGCCCGCTGCAAAGTGAGCTCAACCTCTCTCACTCCTAGGGGGGGGGGGTGTGTGTGACAGTGACAGCCACACCATCCAGGAGGGCTGGCCCCCCTGGGGATGTTGTGAATGACTCCGTCCTGCTGCTGTCAGAGAACCGGGACAGAGGCTGTCTGAGATCGGGGCTGGCAGTCTGGGGCAGCGGCTGGATTTCTGCCCAAAACCAAAGGAGCACTCTGTGCTGGCAGGTGTAGGTCCCCATTTGCTCTGGCCCGGGGACCCTAGAGGCGGGGTGCCCTCTTCCTGGTGCTCTGCTTCTCTGGGTCCTCCTTGTCCCTCCTATTCCTGGGCCCTTTTCTCAGAGATTATTCAATAAATCAACAACAAAAAAATCCTTCTGACTCAGGCTTTCTTCTTTACTGGTGAGAATGCCCTGGTTGTGAGGATGGGGGAGGGGAGAGGGAGCGCTGGGGAGGATGTGCAGGGCGGTGGTCAGGCAGAAGGAAGAGCTCCTGGGCTGGATGAGTCATGCAGCAGGAGATAGAGGAAACAGGCCCAGGTGAATGAGAAGCTGCTCCACTGAGCTGCCGCCTAAGTTGTGTTGGATGTGCGCAGGAGTGCTTGGCTGAGGATGCCTTGGCACCGGGCCCTGGCCACCTTTATTCTAACTCAAAGATGTCATATGAACTGGGCAGGGGCTACCTTCACCATTCACACCCCTACCCTGATCAACATAAAGGATCCCAGGGTTTGCACCTGTGACTGCTCTGGCTGCCTGCCTGGTCTCTGGATAACTGGAACGCTATTCCTTGGTACCCCCCTGCCAGGGAAGTGGTGTGTTCCTGGGTGGCTTAGAAGAAAGTAGTTTCTGAGTTGAGCACAAGAGGGCGTCCCAACTCCAGAATGCAGCAAAAATCTCAGGGAGCTTGAGCTCCTGACTGCCAGGGTAGTTAGGGGAAGGACGGGTTTTGAGGTCTGCCAATGTAATTCCAGATGGGGGTGCGGAAAAAGGGGGTCCTTTGCTCCCAGTTCAGGAAGTTTATCTTCTCTCATAAAATGTTTATCCTCACATTAAACAGAGACTGGAAGGAGCCGAGCCTTCCCTTGCTCAGCGCTCTCTGTAAGGTTGGGGAGGGATGGGGGGAGAGGCCCTCCCCAGGCCTCCCAACTCCAAGATAGATGTGGGGAACTCCCCCCACCGTGCAGGGGATAGCCTGGGTGGGCCGCGCCACCAAGTCTGAGGCTAGCCACAAAGCCCCTTCAAGGCTCCCCTCCTCTGACCTTCAGAAGCCAGCTCAGCCCCACCCCCAGCCCATGACTAACAATCCAGGGTTTGCCAGACCCACAATCAGTTCAGTCTCTCAACCCCAGAGAATGCAGAGGGGCCTCTTCTCAGTTTCTTCCTGACCTACTCTTATTCCCTCTCTCCCACCCCCACCGCCCAGCCACCCAACAGTTTCCAGAAGGCTGCCCCTGGCATTATGCTCCTAGATTTAACATACAATTATGCAGGAGTGTCCCCCCCCCCCCTTACTGGACATGTGAGAGCAGATTGAGCATGGGGACTGGGATCAGGTCCTCGGCTTTAGCTCCCAGCTCTCCACCAGGAGGCCTCCCAGCCTACTCCAGCCCAAGAGACACAAAGACAAGCGTCAGGTCCTCCAGGAATCAGAGGGTAGACTGGACACCAGGCAGCAAGAACCCCAAATTACCTCTTGGGAAGAGAGGCACCAGAGAGGCTGGGAAGCTGACTCAAGGGATGAGAACGTTCACACTCCTCTCTACTAGGGCTTAATTCTGGCAAAAGTAGAAAAGATAGAGAGGGCTTTCCCAAAGCCAGGTGTGTGAGGGCACAAATTGGAGGGGGCGAAAGCTAACCAGCCATACCTGGCATGGGCTCTCCCCAAGGCACAGTCCTCACATCCTATCTTATCTCTTCTGCCACCAGCTCCCCCACAGACCACAGTGACTCCAGCAGGACTGAAGGACCCGGCTGCACATCAGTTAGGGTGCACTTACTGCTGACCAACTGCTCAGCCCTGTTAAGATGCACACAGAGGCCGTCAGAGCTGTCAACAGAAATTTATTCACCAGAAACATGGCCAGACAGACCCATCAGGGAGCTGCATACCCCTAGGCTGGCCCCTTCCGTATTTGGACCCTAGTGAAATAAATGTGTACAGTCTGCTCTCCCCAATGTCAGGGAGAGACATACAGAGGGGAAATACTATTGTTCTGTGATGTGGAAATGAAAGGGGTAGGAGTGGAAATCTGGTATCCCTCCTGAGGCTCCCAGTGGAGCTGGGGTGCCAGAGAGTAATGTGGTCCCAAAGCCAGGTGCAGACACCCATCCCACCCCAAGGGGTAAACTCTTGATCCTAGCTGTTGGATCTGGTTGGGAGGGAGTCTCATAAGATCAAGATGGGCAGAAATGGTAACTCTCAAGGCACCTGTGAGATACTATCCCCTAGGCCTACCAGTGCACACAGGTGCTCCGAGTGAAAGCAAAGGTTCAAGTTCATTTCAAGGCCCTTGAGTTACCAAAACATCCAAATGACAGTGATGTGTTGTGGCTGCTGAAGCTGGGGAGGGAATGGGGAAGAGTCAGGGAGAGGACTTGCAAATCCTCAACAGAAAAACCAGAAGTAGAGGGGGAGCCCCAGAGATTGGTATCTGGATGGGCCCCGGCAAGCTGGAGGGGAGTCCCCAGCAGCCTCGGGGCCTTGCATAGTGACACACTCACCACCTCCGGCATCACCGGGACACACTGGGTAAGGAGAAGCTGTTACCCTGCCCCACCCAGCTCATAGTCTTCCAGAGTATCCTATCTCAATGTCCTGGAGATATGGCCTGGAGGCTTGGCATGACAGCCATGGGGGCAGGAGGGGATACAGGCCAGGAACCAGGAGGTCAGGTGTTAAAGCTGTCCTAGCGCAGGTGGCTTCATGGAGCATGAGAAAGTGGGCTGACAGGGAAGGAGTCTTCAGAGGTAGACATTGAGGGTCTGCAGAATGCCCCGGCGGCAGAGTGGGCAGTTGCGGTGGTAGACGGGGTGACGCATCAGGATCTCAGTGCAAGCCTGGCACAGGCACAGGTGCCGGCAGGGCAGAAGCAGCACCGTCTTGCTCTGGTCCTGGCAGATGACACACTTTTTCCGCTCCTCTTGCTCCTTGAGCAACTTCCACGGGTCTTGCCCAGCTACAGACTCCTCCTCGTTGAGCCTCTCCCGGCCACGGGCAGCTGTTGCTCTGGCCATCCTGACCTCTTCCTCCTCTTCTGCCTCTGATCTGGGCCCTGCTTCAGGAAGAGTGTCCTGTCGCCAGGTCCTGGCTGAGGGCACCCTCCTAGGGCCACCCTGAGGGGCCCCAGGCGCCCCTCCCCGGTTTGGCCAGGTGGCCAGCTGCAGGCTGCGGCTCCAGACTCGACGCCAAGCCTCCAAGTCCAGGGCTAGGCGAGATAGCCGCACGACATCCTCTCGGAGCCGGTGATAAGATGGCCGGGCATGGAGCTGACTGAGTGCCCAGGTGGCCAGTCTCAGGGTGAGGTCTGGGTGCAACACGGTCACCATCACTGCCAGCACACAAGCCAGCAGCACCAGGCCGGTGACATTGACGAGCACGAAGTTGGTCAGGAGGCGGGCAGCTGACGCTAGGAGCTCCAGTGCTAGCTGGCAGGGGGTCCAGAGGAGGATGGCCATGGCCAGGGCACTGCTGGAAATGTGGGCTAGGAAGGCAGCTACAACGTCCGTCATCCTCCACAGCGGCCCCATCACTGCATCCCACAGGGCCAGCATTAGGGAGAAAAGGTTCTGAGTGCCTATGAGGCAGATGTTGACCAGGCTGTTGATCACATAGGCCACCAGGCTCATGGCAATGGCACAGATGTCACAGGCCTGGCGCAGCAAAGCATGACCACTGGAGACCACATTGAGCACCCCCCGGTGCAGGATCTCCCGGCTCCTCAGTGCCCCGTGAGAGGCCAGGTGCCCCAGGAGCTTTAAGCTCTCCAGGCCAGAGTAGCAGCTGTACAGCAAAGTACACAAGGCCTGCAAGCCCCCAAAGGTGAAACGGACCAAGGCTTCGATCAAGGCCAGCAACGAAAGCAGGACTCCGCGGCCCAAGTGCAAAAGACTAGTCAGTACCGTGTGTGGCAGGTTGTAGATGAAGGCCAGCAGCCAGGCCAGGGAAGCCAGGAGGGAGGACACCAGCAGGAAGTTGAGGTCCAACACCAAGGTCAGCAGGTCCAGCACAAGGCCCACCCCATTCACTATCAGGTACACAGCCTCCATGATAGGGCTGTGGAGGTTAATCCGAAAGGAAAGCTGGCTCCAGGTTGAGGGCGGGTGTCAAGGCTGCTAATGTTTGGGGGCGTCAGGGGTCAATCTGGAAGGGAAGTGAGCAGTCTCCAAGCCAGAGAGAAGCAAGAGTCTGAGCAAGAAATGGGTGAGAGCGAGGTGGAGGAGTCTCAGTGGAGGGAAAGGGGGCCAGACGCCGGTCCAGGAGTCCCGGTTTGGACGCCAGGCTGTCTGGGAGGGAAGAAGCCAAACATCTCTAAAGTGGAGGTGAGCCCGGGCCGGAGGAGGGAGCTCAGCTTTGGAGGCCAGGTGGCGGCGAACCACGGCCGGGCAGTGGGTCAGACCGAGAGGAGACCGGGAACGGATGGTGTCGGGCCGGGGCCGGGTGGGGGCGGCGCAGGCTGGGCGCGGGCTCGCGGTCCAGCTACGCAGGTACCCCTGTCCCCGCCCGGCCCCCGTCCTCTGGGCTCGCGGCTCTTTGCGTCCAAAGGTGTCGTGGGAAAGGGAGTCAGCCTCAGCAAACCCCAAACGCGGCCTCTACTCCGCTGGGCGCCGCCATCTTGTGTGCGAAGGGGCGGGGCAAAAAGCGTGATAGGGAGGGCGGGACGACGAGCTCCGACCAATCGTTGAGGAGCAGCCGCAGGAAATCTCGAGCATTCATTGGTCCGTTTGAACGGCGCCCGAACGTATTTACTCTCCAAGGGGAAGGGCGGAGACAGATAGAAATCCCCGCCCCCTTGGGGCAGCGATTGGTCAGTTGAAGGGCAGAAGCGGACTAGGCCCTCCTCCTAGCCCCGCCCCCTAGCAAAGCAAGATTTGTTTGTTTGCACTGGGGCCGGATACCTGTGCTGTTCTTGCTACTGGTCCCCGGGTCGTGAACCTTTTAGGTGAGAGTTGAAGGTTACTCTCTCTGAGCTGGGCTCTGGGATGACCGCCTCCACACCCTGCTCAGACTCGCGGCCTCGTCCTCCACTACTCATTCATTCATTCATTCATTCAGTCGCGTTTATCGAGCTCCGGCAAATAGAATGGAGATACCAAAAATGTTTCAGGGTGTGCCTGCCCTCAAGCCGCTGCCAAGGGGAAACACGTTGTTACAGGGGATTCCCAAGCTGCTATTCCAAACTGTTTCCTCCAGCGTCATCAGCTTTTCTCAGCATCTTCAGGAGATTATCTCATTATGACAAGGAGGCCACACACCAGAAATAGCTCACCCTCCTACACTAGCCTCTATTTGTTTACTTGAGCATTTTGGTTAGATATCTACACCTGAGCGGCTCCAGGTTCCTCAAGTTATCCTTTCCTTTAATATTTCAAATGTGTTTGAGACCCCATCCTAAATCTGTTGGGAAATCTGGTGTTCTCTAGTAATGCCAAGGATACTTGGGGGTCTTATCCTTCCCTCGGGTCACCATTGCTTTAATTTCCTGCTTGTTTGAATGCTTTGTCCTCCCCCAGGCTTGGACACCTAAAAAAAACGTTTGTCCAGATTCACTCACCCAACCCCAAACACTGCCTGAATCCCTTTCTCCCCACAGCCCCCCTGATAGCAAGCTGAGTAGGGCAGCAAGCCTACGTGGAGGTCCCACCAGGGGTCACAGCATGGTGCAGAGCAAGGGCTGCATTTCCTAAAACTCCACTGGTTTTGCCCCAGCCTCTTTCTCACACCTGTCAGGCCCCAATTTAATGTTTTCTGACGGGTTTTTTCTTTCTCTTTCCTCTTCCCCTTCCTCTTCCTTGTCCTCATCCTCTTGGGATTTCCCCTCCCTTTTTCTAGCCCATCAGACTCCAACTTCCTATTTTGCTTTTTGATTTTACAGCATAGTCTGTCTCTACTCCCAACCCAATCTCAGCTCTAACCACAAAATGCTGATCTCTCTAACCAAGGGAGAATAACATAAAGATTTGTGTTATTGGGACGCCTGGGTGGCTCAGCGGTTGACATCTGCCTTCAGCTCAGGACCTGATTCTGGAGTTCTGGGATGGAGTCCCACATCAGGCTCCTGCAGGGAGCCCGCTTCTCCCTCTGCCTATGTCTCTGCCTCTCTGTGTCTCTCATGAATAAACAAATAAAATAAAAAAAAAAAAAAGATTTGTGTTAGCCTCCTGCTCACATCATGGTCTGTTGTGATTATTGTTGCTGATGTTTTTATTATGCAGCTGTACGTTTTCCCCCAATTTCAAATCTTGGAGAATACGCCCACCTCTGCTTCAAGATATTTGATCTCCCCACCCATAACCTGTCCTCTTCAGAAAGGTTAGCTGACCACTACTGTGTTCCTAATGTGTCTTCCTGCGGCACTTGATACCAGTGGCCACTTCCTCCACTCTTGGCTCCTGACCATGACCCTCCCCTGTATTCTTTCATGGCTCCTTTCCTGTCTCCATGACAACTTCCAAATATGTGCCTTCAGCCTGAATCTCTCTTGCAAAGTTTAGGTTGCCACCGCTTCCTGGACGTAGACAGTGCCTGTATATCACACTGGTGCTTCAAACTGAACATGCCCAAATCAAATTCAGTGAACTTGCTGTGCCTACACTGTGTCCAATTAACCAGCCAGCTTTCCACACCACAAAAATCTTCTTGGAATTGGCAGGATCCAATAACAGTATTTCCATTAGTTTGGGACCAAAGCTTCCCTTCTGGATGATCTGAGACTTACCAAAGAACCTTGAATGAGCTATAACCTTTGACTCAGCTGGCAAACCAGCTGTGAGCAAGTAGAGGTTACATGTGGCCACAATTCTTGGGACAAATGAATTGCTGTACGACAAAATGCTCTCCATTCTTAAGCTAGAAACAGCTGAAAAGTACCATTGAATGCAATGCAAAAGAAGTGCTGGGATGACACCCCCTTGAACAAGCCAAGGTGCTTTCCTCTGCTGAAAGATTATAAACCACTCCCCTTGAGGTAACCATGGAAATGGTGGTTTGGTTTGGAGTCAAGTACGGTATCTCTACTAAGTTGATATTTCTTTCTCCTCCAGGACCGTGTTTCAGATAAGAGCCTGTTCAAACCCACAGTTGCCAAAGTGGGGATCATCATCTGTTTGGAGGCTGGAGAAAGAAGAGGAGAATATTGGTGGAAAAAGCTGACACCAACTGACAGTAAGGAAGAAGTTCAAATTGCTTACTTGTGTGAGTTGCAGTGATTGGGAGGAAAATCAGCCAGATCTTAAGAAAACTGAATGCCTAGAGCTACTATCTATCCTTGCAGAGTTTGTTTTTTGTTTTTTTAAGATTTTATTTATTTATTCATGACAGACACACAGAGAGAAAGGCAGAGACACAGGCAGAGGGAGAAGCAGGCTCCATGCAGGGAGCCCGACGTGGGACTTGATCCCAGAGCCAGACATGAGACTCCATGGGGGGGGAGGGCGGGATCACAACCCGGGCTGAAGGTGGTGCTAAACCGCTGGGCCACCGGGGCTGCCCTCCTTGCAGAGTTTTATACTGGAAGTTGTAGTGGGGAGTGGGGTGAACTAAAACTCTCAGCATGTGCCCCCAAGAGGCCTGCTGGGGCCACAACTGGTTTCTGCCGCAGCGCTTACTGTAGGGCTTTGGTTTAGCTAGGTGAGAGATGCTAGCTGGGACCATGAAAGGGGATTTTAGAGATGGTATAAAAACATGCAATTCAGGAGTCTTGTTTGTGGTATTATGTGTACTATAACCTTCCCTTTCGGCTCCCCATTAAGGATTCAGTATAATCTATATTACTGCCATGGCATTAGAGTTGGATTTTTTCCCCTTTTTGATCTACTTCTGCTTTTGATTCATGCAGTTCATTTACAGGGTCCCAAAGTCAAAACTGTATAAAAAGGTACATTCATAGGTTTGTTTTCATTCTGCCCCTGCCACCTTGTTCCCTCCCAGCACCAGCTAGGGGCCCCACAAATCACAAACATACCAAAAAATGTTTTCCTTGGTCAATCAGGATCCAGGTCTTGGCATTGGCCCAGCAGAATTCATAACTCTAAACATCGGCTGTGCTAATGACACTGCTTGGACCCAGAAAAGCCCTTCTCCACATTTCATAGCGTCCTGGAAACAGGAGGTGACTGGGTCCAAATGCCACAAACAAAACTCCTGAATTTTGGAGTGTGGAGGAATTTTGGAATTTTGGAGGTGGATTTGAGCTGTTGAAGTGTAGTCAAATCCTCTTGCATCTCTTCTTGGTCTAATTTATGGTTCCAGAAGTACTCAGAAATTAATGCAGTGGCTGAGGAACATGTGCAAAATTAATTCAGAATTTTTAAAATGTGTATATATGTAAATATAGATGAAACACGCATACATATTTCATTGGTTTTAGCCCTGTTTTGATGTAAGGAAAGGACTGAAAAAAAAGCACCCCATAATTGTAGACATTGATTTAAAATGTTCTTGGGGGTGGAGTGGCTCAATCGGTTAAGCATCTGACTCTTAATCAAGCTCACGTCTTGCTCTCAGGGTCTTGAGTTCAAGCCCTGTGTTTGGGCTCCATGCTGGGCATGGAGCCTACTTAATTAAAAAAGAAAAGAAAAAGAAAAGAGATTGTTGAGGGCAAGTCAATGATGATGGCACTGGCATAGTTAGTAAAGGTAAAGGAAAACAAAGTCATTTTTTGAACTAAAAATCCAGAAGCATTTTTGTGCCATATGCCCTGTATGACACATACTTGAACTTGTTACTAAACCTGACCTCAGTTGTGCTGACCATGGTGGCATTCTTTGGAACAATAAAAAAATTATATTCAATGTTCTCTGGATCTGCCCAAAGATGAAACATCTTGGAAAGATATACATCATCTTTTTTTTTTTAAGATTTATTTATTTATGATAGACACAGAGAGAGAGAGAGAGAGAGAGAGAGAGAGAGAGAGAGAGAGAAGCAGAGACACAGGCAGAGGGAGAGGGAGAAGCAGGCTCCATGCCGGGAGCCCGATACGGGACTCCATCCCAGGACTCCAGGATCATGCCCTGGGCCAAAGGCAGGCACCGAACCGCTGAGCCACCCAGGGATCCCCGATATACATCATCTTTGACCTCACTACCTCTCTGGGACACATGATGGAATTGCTGGCTAGGTGCGGTTAAAACAAGTAGAATTTCATGTAGATGAGATATCAAAAGAGCTTGAAGAGTTAAGCAAAACAATGGAAGATTCTCAAATAAAGAGTAAATTATGGTCTCGGGTGGAAAATGAAATTACTCTTAAATAATAAGAATAATTACTCTTAAATATATCTGCACTATTTGCAGATATTTTAGATGGACTGTTGCCTAATATTAAAAATATTGAGGGGTGCCTGGGTGACTCAGCTGATCAGGCATCAGAATCTTGATTTCAGCTAGGGTCATGGTCTCAGGGTCATGAGATCGAGCCCTGTTTCCTTCCGAACTAGGCACTGAACCTGCTTAAAATTCTCTCTCTCCCACTCCCTCTGCCCCTCCACCCCTTCATCTCCCTCTTTAAAATACATACATATATATATATATATATATATATATATATATATAAAATAAAATACATATATATAGGACGCCTGGGTGGCTCCGTGGTTGAGCTTCTGCCTACAGCTCAGGGCG